GGGGGGGCCCGGGCCCCCCGGGCCCCCCCCCCCCCCCCCCCTGGATCCGCCACTGGATGGATGTAAGAAGGATTAAAAGGAGGTCAATCGTGTACTTTCGATGGAACACACACACAAACGTGATGAGTAGTGAGAGAAAGAGAGCGAGAGAGAGAGAGAGAGCAAGAGAGTGTTTGTGAATGAGAGAGAGAGGGATTAGAAGGAGGGGAGAGGGAATCATGGTAAATAAAAGGCGAGAGAGACAGAGAGAGAGACATACAGACAGGGAGGTTATGGTGATGGTGGTGGTGATGGTACTTGGTGGTGGTGGTGGTGGTGGTGGTGGTGGTGTTGGCGACGTGGCGTCGTGGTGACGAGCATGGTGTTGAAACTGGTGGTGGTGGTGGTGGTGGCGAGATGGCGACGGTTGATGGTGATAACTGATAACGATGAAATGTGGGGACGGGTTAACGACAGACAGACAGAAAGACTATCGGACAGACAGACAATGCTTGAAAACAGTAACAACACTGACATGCCAACGATAGACACAATAGTTTAATTTTATATAGAATTGTCTTCATGGGCGTCTCTAAGATAAATTTCAATTAAGGGGATTTGTCACGATACATTAAAAGCAAGCTTAGTCGTTCGGCGTTAACTATACCCTTCTTTAGGCACAAATACTGCATTCTATTTCTATCAATTTTGGTTGAATAGCTGTAACTTTTACCATATATTTAACCCGTTCGAACACTGTACTCGTGGTTTCTCCTGCCTTTGTAAGAGTGTCAAATATACGAAGATAAATCATATGTAAGCAGATCAGAACATGCCACAATTCTAAGCTTGTGGGGCAAGGTCTTCATATAATGGATAAACCAATGGTGTATCATGGAGATTCTTGCCGGGAAGGGGGGGGGGGCGCAAGTCTGGCAATTTTCTGACAAGAAAACAAAAGAAGAAGAAGAAAATAATGTCCAGGGGAAAAAAAGAAGATAAATCACTTGTTAAGCAGATCAGATCGTGTGTCACAATTCTACGGGGGCAAGGTCTTTATATCTCTATAATCATGGGATTATATAGGGGGCGACATGTCCGACAATTTTTTGACACGAAAATACCCCCCCCCCCTCCCAAAAAATAAAAATAAATGACCACCGAAAAAGGGAAGATAAATCAAATTTGTAGGAGATCAGAACGTGACACCATCACGCTAAGCTCTTGGGACAAGGTCTCTGTAACTCATGGGTTACCTATGGGCTGTGGCATATATCCAGGAGGAATCTATGGCCCGGAGGTTTGGGGGGGGGGGGGTGACATAATTCCTCCCCAAATTCCCCTGGCAAACTTTTAAAACGGCTCTCATATATTTAAGAAGTATTTTTCCCAAAAAAATATGACAAAGATAAGGGGGTTATAGTATTTTGCCGGGAGGAAAACACATTATTTGTTGCGCATTTAAAAATTATATTTCACACAAATACTTCCGAGAGGGGCAGTTTCAATACCCCATCGTATGTCCCACAGAAATCATGATTGGATTACGTCATTAATGATCGCACACTTAAAAAGCTGACGTACAAGGCCTTTGAAATTGCTGTAAGTTTATTTTGGTTGATTTTTTCGAAAGTATTTGCAATCGTCTTATGGACTTAGAGAATCGAATTTATTCATGTCAGCCTAATTACGTAGCTGCAGTTTAATGCACTTTTTTTACACTGCATCAGGACAACACCGCCTCGGAATAACCCCATGCAGCCCGAGCCAGGATAATACGTGAGCTTATTATTAATCTTTGGAGAATTGGGAACAATAATGTAGTTGAACGAGTTCATTGTCCACCTCTGAATCATAGATCCGCCTTCGCCTTCTTCTAGTTTTCGGCCTACTTTTTTCGACCATAACATAATGTGATTATGTCAAAGGATTCTATCTCTTGCAATTATAATAACAAATTGGCCTGTTTAATTACACACAGTGACGTTGTCAACACGCCTTCAAACATTGAACACGGATTTCCTATCAATTTTGACTAACGCCATTGCTTCCTTCCTTCTTGTTTTGTCATTAAATGTGAACAACAATTGCCTACTACAGTAAAGCTATAGTAAACTATAGGTAGTGATAGACCTAGTAAAATGTCTATTATTATGTAAACAATACAATCGCTCCTTATATGGCCTTATTGGGGCCACAAACCATTACCTCATCATGACGCCACCGTGACTTTGACCCAGGTAATAGACAAGGTAGAATTGGACAGGGGTTGATGGAGAGAGAGAGAGAGGGGGGGGGGGAGAGAGAGAGAGAGAGAGAGGGGGGGGGGGGGGAGAGAGTAGAGGGCAGACAGAAAGAGGCAGAGGAGAGAGAAGACAAGAGATATATAGACATAGAAACTCACAGATAAAGGGAGACAGTGAGAGATGGTTATTATGCATGCATACAGGCCAATTAAATAGCTTACCTCCTTACACAGGCATAGGTCCTTGTATTTTCTTCCATAAGATAGGCCCGTGAGGAAAAACTCATTTTTCAAACCCATGGCAAATGTGTAAACAAAATCAAGTATACAAATTGATATTGGTTTTGGTTTACCGAGAAAATTATACATAGGTCTGGAGCAGAACTTTCGTTTGACCTGGTGATGAAGATAATCGTTGAACAGAATATGATTTATTCACAAGTGTCTATATTCGTCGAACGGCTCTAAAAAAAAAAACATGACGACGACTATGGTAAAGAAAATATATTAAATCAGTCACCGAAAGTGACGAGAGAAATGAGGTTCACACTATTGTTATTTCATGTTACTTCACGAGTGAAATAATTAACAAAAATATGCCATCAAAATAAATCCCATTTGCACTGTCTTGGAATTTCACCCAAGTTAAGATTGTTCAGAATGTATGTGATGGCGCTATTTAAAAGTTGCCATAGTGAGTTTATTGCTGCATCATGTCAATAGACCGGTTTACTGGATGTTTCTTTCCTTGGGACTTAGTGACGAGTTAGTCCATTAACCTGCTTTTAATGAACGAACTAAAGTACTCAGAATCCAGTCTGCATACACATTGCTTGTTGCTATGTAGGACAAGCATCGGGAAAGCTTTCAGGTTGTCAAAAACAACGCGCAAATTGTAGTTAACCGATCTATTGAATAGGCATGTTATTCACTCTTTACAGAAATGGTAGGGCGAAGGAGGCCAGTAAATAAAAGTGGTTATTCAATTTTATTATACTGTTCGTGCATGCACGCTGTCCACTTCGAACTACTTTGATGCAAAACATAATTCAATTATAAGCTAAGTTTTATGCCGATTCATCCGTTAAGTGTTGTTGCCCACCAACTCATGCAGTACTCAATCATCACCTCTAAAAAAAATCAACAACACAAATCATCATGATAAACGTCATCACCGTCGTCGTCGTCATCATGATCATCAATGACATTATCATTATCATGATCATCGTCGTCGTCATCTTCTTCATCATCAGTACTCCCCGCATCTATCGCACCCTTTTCCTTTCGCTATTCGTCCTTCCTGTATAGGCCTATTATGTACTTTTATTGTTTAGCAGATATTTCTGCAGTAATTGCAAATATTCAAACAACAATAACATCATATAATATAATTGAATTACATAAAAATGTGACAACTTGAATACAAAAGAATGCATAGATGTAATTTATATATAGAAGCAAACAATTGAATAAATACAGACCCGTATAATTTTCTATGATTTGGAGTTTTGTTAATCGAGGCTTAAATGAATAACTGAGAGATATGAGCGTGTTTATTATTAATGTCAGGTAAAGCATTCCAAATATCCGGACCATGGTGTCTCATCGATTTATAAGCCAAAATAATTTTATTTTGCAAACAAGAATACTGTCTTGAAAACAAATCAGTTCGGTCTTTATGTATTGATTTATTAAAAAGAATAATATACCAACAGAAGCCCGGTTAGCTCAGTCGGTAGAGCATCTGACTTTTAATCAGAGGTTCGCGGGTTCAAGTCCCTCATCGGGCGAGAGTATACTTTTGCGTGTTTATCTTATCATGTTTAAGCAGTTCTAACACTGGAAGAAGAAGATTGGGAGCAAGTATGAGAATCTAATCTATTAAACCATTCATCAATTATCCGACATATGTATGTGTGTAATTAGGTGTAGTTGTTTTGTTTGTTTACAAACGTGTATAAATCATTGTGTTATTTACGTCTGAGAGGGAAGACATACCATCATCATTCGAAAGAGGCGACTGGCTTTTAGAGATCGAGTTGTCTTCCGAGGTTGGTACTACCGACTTGACTCGACTCCATCAAATTGAAGGTGGCGCGCGCGGCGGGTGTATAATGTACGTGTACGTGTACGTGTGCGATCAATAATTTACAACAAATTAAGAATAGGCCTATACACTGAATGAATGAGGAAAGCGTCATTAACAACGGATTACTATCACAGATTTGTAGATCTATTATTCCTGTAATAGTACAAGCCGAGCACATAGAGCAAGTGCATTTGTGAGTAGTTGAGATACTGACTTGAATGACTGTTTTTGGAGGCTTTGAATAGATCACTTTTTAAAAGGAAATGGGTGTTATAAGGTTAAATTGATTGTCTGTCGACTGTCGGTGGCCAGCGCCGCGCTACCAGGACGTTAGATACCCGATGCGCCATATCTCTCGGGGTACTGGATAGCTGTCACCCGTGTGGCCGTGCGTGGTAGGGCTAACTCAGCACAGAAGTGTAGGCTAGTGCCTTGGCGTTGTGGCAATTGTGGATGTATTTTGCGTAGACCTAACTAATATTTACTGATGTGAATTTCAGTCTGATAATCTGATATTCAACTTCTGACAAACAGGGAGAGCAGAGCAGAGCCTGGACGTGCCTAGATCTAGGCCTAGATTGAATACAGAGTCACTACAATTTATTTGGACGATGATGCTGATGAGTGATGAGTGATGATGATGATGATGGATGGCATGAAATGATGAATCGGCATGATTGATATTGATAAACGATAAATTGTGCATGAGAAGAGATGAATTAGACTACTTTAGAATGATTTGGATGTCATTTTAATATTTTGAGATATCAAATTCATGAAATCATTTTTCTTCCTCAATCTACCAATGGTTGGTCATCAAATTTGCTGCCATAAATAACTCCTTCCTTGTGTTGAAAAAATGAAGGCAGCTTGGTTATAAATTGTAATCTTCTTTTGTTAAAATGATTTTAAAACCCCTTTTACAATTAATTAAATGTTACTAGGTCTACATGTTCTTGAAATGTGGTTGGGGTAATATAATAAGTGGTAATAATTTTATGAATATAATAATATTTTCAAGTACATACATGTAGACTGTAGTGCTACATACTCTACTAGGAACAGGATGGTTTATTATTATCATTATTATTATTATGATTATTATTATAATAATTATTATATCTATTAATTGTATTATCATCATCATCGTCATTATCATTATTATTATTATGCTATTCAAGGATAAATGTGCTGGGAAATAACTTCATATTATTTGTGAGGGTATTAAAAATAGGACACAATGTCTCAATTGTAGAGCAGTGGACTCGTAACCGGGAGGTCCAGGGTTAGAAACACTATGAACATGACTGACAAAAAAAGCGGACAAAATATACAGTTCCTCAGGTAGACAAAGGAACATCCCTTCACTGCTATTATGTGAAAATATGTAGAACAGGTGTCGCATGCATATTCACTTTTTACATTATAGCAGTGAAGGGATGTTCCTTTGTCTACCTGAGGAACTGTATATTTTGTCCGCTTTCTTTGTCCGTCATTTTCATAGTGAAACCAAGTTCCCATTACCAAGTCCCTCAAAGAGGACTTAAAGTCGTTGGTCCCACCAGGAAGCTGTAATGAATGGAGATACCGTCTCGAAAGAATTTTCTGAGGGAAAATTATTCAAGATTAACCTGGCTTAACAAAAAGAAATGTAACCCTCTCCAGCCATCATTTCCATCAACAGCTGTCCATATCAATGCACAGTCCCTCTCTGGCATTCCAAATAGTACGAAATGTTACGCAACGCCATCTGTTTCCCTAAGTTCTCTATTCACTCGTTTGCAAAGATATGCAAGCATCGGGCTTTGAAGCCATGCGTGGCACCGACAAATTAAGTCATGTTCATGGAAGATGTATTTAGCTATAACATATAAAATGCAGAATTCACAACATTATGACCAATGCAACTTTCTATTAGTCATCAAATGCGTCTTCCGTTCTCGGATAGCTCTACTGAAGACATGGCCATTTTAACCAGCGAAATCGACCAAGGAAATCATGAGTTAGAGCGAATGAAAGATTTTCATAATCATGATTTTCTCATCTAATTATTGACATTTTCCGAAAATTCCGAAATTTGTACATAGCTAGGAAGGTAGTCCAAAGGTTTATCTTCCTAAAGAACTAAATGAAATTGTGTTGTATGTTTGCGCATTTATTGATTTAGGGCTAGAAGTTGTCAAGTTAGCACCACTATTCACCCAAAGTACGGGCCGGCAAAGCAAAAGCCGCCGTGCTCGCTGGGCTGGGCTGTGTGTGGAAAGGGAGGACTTAGTGCTACTAGGGAGCTGTAAGGTTTTGGAGGGGGATTAAGGGGATTACGGTAGGGGAAACAAAAGACGCGCGGTGCCACGGATGACTTCAAAGGGGCCTCTTGGACGGGATCTCCATTCATTACAGCTTCCTGGTCCCACAAGTACATGCCCTTTTTTCAATAAATAGCAATCATGTATAAAAAACAAACCATCAACCCATATAAACTGTAGAACACCCTCCTGAATAAAAACAAATTTAAGATAAGAAAATGGGAATTTTAACTTGACCTACAGTAATGTATTATTTTTAAGAAGCATATTTATCTTTTTTACATTCTATTTAACCAACAGGAACCTACAGCTCTTTACACAACCACGGTGAAGGATGTTGCTAGGCAACCAGCACAGTACACTGAGATGGCTTGAGTAATGCATGAAGGCTCAAGCTGGACAATTAGATGTCTCTGAAGGCAGTGTTTGGTACATGTATGTATTAATACCAAAGTGTCTTACCTCACATGCTCTGGTTAATAATTACCCCAGGCTCAGGCAATATTCTAGGGCCATTTTATGCCAAGTGTCTCGGGACGGTGTCTGTTTGGAGCCAGAAGGGCATTAACTCCTTTATTTTAAAGGCATCGTTTAACAATGTTAAATCTGAGATACACGGCCCTACCTGTTATCAGTGTCTGTGATATGGTGTAATATTGAAGCCCTAAAAGTATTGCGCTTCAAAATGATCAAGAAGTTTTACCATACTCGTTTTCCCCAATAGACTGCAGTGTTAGGAAAACCGTCAGGCGAACGGTTTTCAAAATTTGTAATTCCAATCATTAATATCTTGATAATCAGACAGGCGATCGGCTTATAAAAGTCATGGGTTTCCTACTTTCCTGACTGACCTAAAGGTTTATAATTATCATTGCATCATGAGCTAAATCCAGAATTTTGATTCAGAATCTGAGACAAAGTTACCGGATCCCTTTAACACACAGTTAAAGGCTTTCTGGTTTTGAACTTCATGTACATGTACATGCATACCGGTATCTCTTTTATCCACTTATTCGATTTATAAATGAAAATAAATTATTATTGTAATGTAGAGTGGTAATTGTTCTTTTGACTCTACATGTTTGCCATATGTTAAATGGCTCAGAAGTCTGTTAATCTCTTGATTAGAGCCAAAACACAACGTTCAGTGATTTTTTTTTTCCAGTTCATATCGATCCAAAATTGTTAATGTTTTACCAGACAAAATTTGGAAACTGGGGGAAAGTTATCTGCTTCTTTTGGTACATGGCATGATTTTAGATAAAGTGGTAGAAAGTGTTGTTTGGACTGTGTGGTATTACATGTATGTTGTAGAAATCTTAAATACTTAAATAGGGAGAATGTTGAGCCCCGACTGCATTAATGTTTGTTAAAGGGTATGTGTTGAAAATGTGAATATATGTGTTGAAAATGTGAATATTTGTAGTCACTAGTCACCATCCTATGATACATGTACATCTAGTTCTGTATCTATTTTTGAATGCAATGTCATTGCATGTACATCAATCGAGAGCAAGCTCTTGAGACTTGATCCCTAAACCTGTAGTTTCTTCTCCCATGTTTCCACTGTGATGTACATGTATCACCACTTTTTCTTTGATTTATAGCATCACAATATTCCACCATTTCTGTCTGAAGTAAGTATGGTCATTTAATTCTATCTGCTTTAAATCATTGCTGATTATCAACATGCATGTTCCCTGAGGGCCTTTTTGAACACGTTATGACTCTATAACTGGATTTTAAAAAGAACGAAAGAGGCTTATAGGTATACAGCATTTTAAGTGGTTGATTTTCCATATTGAGGTGGCGAATTTTCATGAGTAACAAACAATACTAAAATTCATAGTATTTTACACCTTTCAGTCGAAAAAAACCTCCTATTTGGCTAAAGATTATTTATAATTTATGAGTGTGAATGCATGGTAAAAGCTATGATTCACAGTCAAGTGGGCCTTTTCAACAAAATGTGGGCTTACAAAGCCCAGCAATTTCAATGTATCATAACTTTATAACCATTTGAGATGCCATAGACCCCTCAAAGCAATCATAAATAATCTGCAGTTTTAAATGTTGAAATATGAGATCCAAGTGCAATATCATATGAAATTCAGTGACATTTTCAGATCATAATAGTGTGTGGTGGCCTTAATTGAAATCATTTGATAAAAACATGTACGATACAAGCTTTGCTATGTACACCAAGCTGAACAAATATCAGGTGCTTCTACATGTTTTACATTTCATTTGATAATCTTCCATTGACCAACCATGCAAATTACATTTTCTATAGGCTCGTTCAGATATGACAAGGCGAAACCGCAGTGTTAAAAAAAATATGAAGTAAAGTAATATGCTTCACAGTTCTGAATCTTATAATATAATAAGCTCAGTGAATACACTGAGGTCCTTTTTTAAGTGCACTTGCCATTCATTAAAGGGATAGTTGAGTTCTGTTGCAGAGGGTGCTTCACAAAATAAATTTTTGTGAGATAATGAAAAACTGAGTGTCAAATTTGAAAGAACGTAATTTTTAAATGACAAAATCATCTTTGATCAAAATCGGTTCAGAGACTGCTGAAATATAACGATTTTTAATACTTGTGTGCAACCACAAATATTAAATATTTTGAAAAATTCGAAAAAAACGTTTAAAAAAACTAAATAACGACTTTTACGTCGTATTTCAGCCAATGCCGATGTTGGCTTTTTTGTTGGCATTTTCGGTTTTGCTTATATATTACCCACAATTAGCCGGCTCATGTATTGTTATTTTTAATTAAATAATTAATTTTGTTTTAAGTGGAGCTGAATTGGTATGATCGTCTTGGCTAAATTTCACACATTTTTGGGTCTAAAATTGCCTAAATAGCAATTTTAGGTTCTAAAAGGGCACTATAAATGTCATAGATAAGAATAAGAGCAATAACCATGCACTTTTAAGGCATTTGCGGTCTGAAAGCAGAACTCAACTATCCCATTACCGGTAATTAACATCTTTAAAAAAAGGTAGTATTTTTTTTTTGGGGGGGGGGCAGTTTTCAGCATCATGCATACATGTATATCTGAACAAGCCTCGATGCATGTACTCATTATACTGGTAATGTTTGTTCATTGCTCATGTACCTTGGCAACCCCAATGCCATGCCATTAGCTTCTTGAAAGCAAACAATGTTAATATACACATTACGAAATAAACTCTGAAGTGGCTGTCAAATAACTGTTCAATTATTCAAGTCATTCTCAAATTGCCCTTCCCAAATTGTATACATAATATGCATGGTACAGGGTACCTGTACATTAAATTTTGCCTATTAACTATGAAATATAGCAAATCATTGTATGTAGTTTAATGTATACCAGTATACTCGGTAATCAGTTTTGCTCAACCTGAAGCCAGAAAACACTGCATATTACACTACATGTATAAAATATACGTACATGTACATTCATGCATTAGTGATATATTTTAATGAACAAAATTGGCTAAAAGGAGGAGCGTACACGCATGTTTTAATGACAATTAAAGGCTGAATCAATACCTACTAATACCTAGATGTACAAACCTGTACAGTGTATGCACACGTAATTGATGATAGAGCTCAAGCTTTTAGAATACCATTTTAATAGATGTCCGCACTATATTCAATGCTTAATTATCCATTAGTAGGCTTATTAAGTGTAATGAGGCATACATGTACATTGTACATGGCAAGCAATCATGCTTAAAGGGCAATTCAACCATGAATGTAAGTGGGAAAATAAGAGAAACAGAATGGTGAAAGTTTGAAATAAATCAGATCAATAAGTGTAATAGCAAATTTATGAGTTTTTGAAACGTGAGATGCGAATTGCAAATTGGAAATTTGGTCTCTAATTCACTCTCTTGACTGTGAAGTACAGGTATTCATGGACAACTCTTCTGTTTGTTGTGTGTTAAATAAATAAGATTAAAACAAGGACCCAAGGACAATCCAAAAGAGATGAATAAATCTCAAATTGTTCTGTCAAATAATTAATGAGATAAAAAATAGTTTATGTATATTTATTTGTATGAATATATTGTATATATATACCTCATTGCTTTAGTGTATCTGAGTTAGTAGTCTCTCCAAATGCCCTATATAATGATCTTTTGCGCATTATCAATTTGCTCTTTTAATTAGTGGCTAATTAAATGTACGTGAGCAAACTATAATCATTGCTTAAATACCATGCTGATTCCTTCCAATATATATTATACATGTACAGTACATACTGTATACATTAAGTCCTGTCTTGATCACTTTGCTCCTACAGTACATCTGTCTTTCTTTTCTCTCTTTTTATAAATATCTGCTGTTTTGCTTGTATGATGTAACTCCACCCCCCAGTCATATCCAATGTACACTCTCTCTTTGTTTTACAGGATCTTATACAATATATATCTGCTTGAAAAGACTTGAATGTATGTTTTATTCTCTTCTTAACAAATGCAATTGACTTCTTTTCATTTCAGTCTTTGAATATTATGGAATGCTACATTAAAAAACATAACAAACATAAAATAAAATTTTCTTTCAATTGAAGATGCAGCATCAAACCAACCTTTCTTAACTACTTAATTTCACTCTTGTAATTTGTTCAAGTTGCTACAACCCGATTCCATTACAATTCAGTTAATCCTTCTCAAGAAAAAGTGTACAATTTTAAGGCAAGTTCATAGCTCTTTAATAAATTTTTAATTCACTGACTTGCCAATTATTTGAGGTTATTTACTGTACCATGTCATATAATGTGAATGATGCTTTAATGTGTTCTTTCCTGCAGCCGGGTCCCTGTTGAACAGTGGTCTGGCTATGATCCCCGTCACTGGACTATCCTCCCCAAACACCCACTCCAATCCAACTCGACCACTATCTAAACTCAATTACACAACTCTGCACCCCACCGACGGCCATGACTCCCCTGCCAGGTCACCCTCGAACCGGTCCCCCAGCCCCGTCCACAGCGCCCTCTCCCCAGCCATCAAACCGCCCCTCAGATCCGCCAGCTCCCCGCAGCTGCACCGGGTGTCCAAGGGTGACCTGCGAGATCTGCTGTTCCTGACACCGTCCTTTCCGCTCAAAGGCATCTTTGATATAGGCAATGGTCATTTTGATGTGGTCCTGGAGGAGAAACAGATCAGCTGGACACCGCTGAGTAGGTCTAGTCATGGTGAGTCCCTTAAGTGGAAAGTTAAGAAGTGTCTTGTAGTCTCCCTCTCTCTCTGTCTCTCTGTCTGTCTGTCTCTCTCTCTCTCAAGCTCTCTCTCTCTCTCTCTCTGTCTCTCTCTCTCTAGCTCTCTCTCTCTCTGTCTCTCTCTGTCTCTCTCTTTCTCTCTAGCCTTCTCTCTCTCTGTCTCTCTGTCTCCTCTTTCTTCGCCTCTTTGCTTTGATCTTTCCCGTCAATGTCATTATACCAAGTCACCTCATGGTAAACCTAGCTTTATATGAATAAAAACAGACTAATGATTGAGACAATCATTTTGCATAATTTTAGTTTGTTTTAAATCATACTGAAAGATTGAAAAACCTGTGAATTGATTGAATTAAATGAGGACAATAAATTTGGACCTCGTAAGCATTTGGCGAGCTGCAAAATTAAGGATGTTATCAAATCATGTATGGATGAGGCTTTAGTTTTCACTCTCCTTCTACTCGTCTTCAGCCAAAGGAGAGCAGTACCCCAAGGTAATCAAGGCGCGAGACATCTTTGCTGTCCAGATCCAGAGGATACAGAGGGCGGGGCAGGAGTCTGGGGGTCATCCCAAGGGCGTGTCCATCTTTGTGGTACGTCCTAAGAAGGGCGTGGCCAATGGGATCACCTGGGAGGAGATCACGCTGGAGTCGACCAATGAGGGATGCTGCCAAGAATGGTTTCAAGCTCTCATGAAAATACTCAATGGTGAGGTTTTTTTCTTTTTTTCTTATACCAGTATACCAGTACCAGTATACAAAATAGGAAAAAAAGTATTGAAAACACTGGCTACCCTAGCTTGGTTGCCTAGGTACATGTATGGAAATGGCTAACTTATTAACCATAACCTTTAATTAAAAAATAGGTAACTGATTTAATGTCAATGTTCTAATGTAAAGAAAAATGCTGATCTAAGAAGCTTCTGAATGAATCCATGTCAGTATGGCTCAAAGAGGCATAGAGATCAAGAGGGTGATGGAAGGATCCTGGATCGATTTCTAAATTCATGTATTAAAATCATTATTATACCCCTTGAAATACATGTAGGACAGTTATTTCTGATTCGTACACTTTCATTTAAAAATAGGTAACTGACTTGGAGAAAATAAAGATATTGTTATTCTAACGTATAGAACAATTACTTAATCCTCTGAATCCTTCTCAGACTATGGCTCAAAGAGATCAATAGGGGATGTACATGTAAGGATCCTTGATCAATTTCAAAATCTACTTATCAAAATGATTAACATTGGGCAATTTTTGCTATTCTGACCCCTCAATTAAAAAATTGGTGACTGTCTTGCAATTGAAATATGGTGTGCCTTGAGAAAATCTAAATGGAAATATTCTAATGTAAAGAAAAATTACTGATTCATAAAGCCTCTGAATTAATTCATGTCAGAGATCAATAGGCTGATGTACGAACATTGGTAAGGTTGTTTTGCCTTCATATATACTGATCACAAATGAATTAGTTATCAGTCTGAATGGCCATACTCTGTCCATTGATTTGTGGTAGGGTCCATGCTCTGTTATAGTCATATAACCACTTTATGATGAATGACTTCTTTGTCTTTGCCACCAAATGATGTTTGTTGTTGTCGTATTCTGCGTTATATGGCAATCAGTCCAATTTGCCTATTATCACCAACTGTTTTTTCCGTTTATACATTGTAAGTGTGAACTTTAAATATGAAATATGAAAAATTAATTTACCTCTCTTTTTTTATATTATCTTTTTTATATTTTATATTTTTTATATTTTGTCGGTTTAAAAAAATTATTATTATCATTATTTATATATCATGCCAGCTAGGGCCTTGTATTACAAAAAGTTGAAGGGTATGTTTATGCTCAGTTTTTTCCAGGCCAGAATGAGGCTTTTGGTACGTGTTTAGTTCAAAACACGGTTGCGTCCTTTCTCATTTTCGTTAACTCACAAAAAGGTGCGTTTACAAAGAGCATTTACGATGAGCATTTCAAATTCTGCCTTCAAAATTGAGCATAAACGCAGCCTATATCAATCGCAACTAAAAGAGATAGGAGACTGCAAACTTGCGATTGATTTGGATCAAACGTAACTCTTTGTAAGATGGGCCCAGGTTATTTGATTGTGTTTGTTATATTCCCAGCATTCACAGAGAGGCCAAAGAGATTGAAGATCTTTGTGGATTCCTTGAGATCGGATAAGGCCAAACAGGTCTATGACAACAAAGTAAGGATGCTGTTTCACTATGCTAGGATGAAGACAGATATTGTGGGTAAGAGGAACAACATAAACTTACATGTACATGTATCAGTAAAACAATCTATTAATCAATCAAGCAACCAATCAATCGATCAATCCAACAAACAAATTTACAATTAGTCAATCAATCGATCAAACAAATAAAACAAACAATCAATAATACAATCAATCAATCCATCAAACAATTAAACAATTAATCAATAAATCAATCAAACAAAGTAACAAACAAACAATCGATTAATCAATTCAGTCAATCAATGTAACAAAATAAATAACCAATCAATTAATCCAACAAACAATCAAACACAATTATCAATCGATCATTCAATCAATCAATCCAGTATTGAAATAAACAAACAAACTCTCAATCAATCAATCAATAAGTCAATCAATCATCCAACAAACAATAAATTATCAATCCAACACACAGACAAACAATCAATCAATCAATCGATTCATTAACAAATTAATCATTAGATCGCTATGCAATAAGCTCCATATTGCATTTTGTTTTATTCATTTTGCACATGTTTTTAAGTAGGAAAAAACACACAAAATGCAAAATAATGTGCATTTCTTAAAATGAGAAAGAATACTCCAGAAAATAAACATACACAATTTTTTTTTTATTATTCCCACTTTTTGTCATCAAAATTTGAAAAGTATCTTGATAATACCAGTTGACAATGTTTGTGATACTAGAAAGAACAATAAGCAGATGGTCAAATCAAGAGATTTGTATTTTTGGATGTAAGAAATGGCAAAATGTCACATATTGTAAAGGACACATTGTATGGAATTGCCCTGATGAATCAACCAGTCAGCCATTTTATCAGCTAGTCAATATTTCCACCCTCCATCATTCTCCCAACAAACCTTGCGACTAAGCCGCTCTCACCACTTATCAATCGCGCAACCACTTTATCAATTTATCAATCTACAAGCATGTACTTACCGTGTATTCACCCAAATGAAACAGCAAATTTATTCATTTATTCATTAAAGTGTGACAGGCATTGTATTTATCACTCCCACAGAGTACAGGATTCCAATTAAGAATCTCCCAATTATGAATACAGAAGGTACTGAACAAATACCCTGACATACGTGTAGCAGCTCTGTTGATTTATGGTTGAATCTGACAATGTATTTATCAGTTCCGGAGAGTACAGGATTCCAATTAGAAACCTCTCAATCATCAATACAAAATATATTGCACAAATACACTGGAAGTACGTGTAGCAGTGTTGTTGGTTTATGCAGACAATCATGGCATTATATTAGACCACTTGTCAATGCAGATGGGTGAGAATGGGTGCATGGCCAATGATGTATTATGTGCATGTACATTTGCTAGAAATATGCATTTTGCAGACTATAACTGTACACAATATTTTATTTTTAGAGCAGGACAGTGATTGGTTCTAATCTCTATATTCTATATAATATTTAATTCAATTTAATTATTTTTTATTGTTATATTGTTACAATTATTACAATTATTGCTATTCTTTATCCTATCATTATGAACTAAAAGTTTACAATTTGACCAATATTTATTTGCCGAGTACATGACTTAGCACTGACATCTTTGGTCAAACATTGCTTGTTGCATATCGTCCTTGTTTTCACGAAGTGACGGTAGTGAGGAAAATCGTAACGCAAAATGAATGCAATTTTTTTCACTACCGTCACTTTGTGAAAACAGCGACGATATTGTATTAAGCAAATATGTATCAAATTTAATTTGGTTAATTTCTCTCTTCTTTTAAGAGGTGAGCCATCAGCATCAAGTACAGGATGCAATAGATGCTATGGATTTTAACGATGTTGATGGGTGAGTTAAACATGCAATGTGGTCTAGTGGATAAGCCACTGGACTGTAGTATAGATCACAAGGTACAGGGTTAAAATCTCAGCTCGGCACTAACATCCTTTGGCAACACGTTAATCTACATTTGCCACTCTTCACCCAGGTGTTAAATGGGTATCGGGTAGGATGCGAACGTTAACGTAGTTTGCTCAAGATTGTGATCGTCTGTAAAATTTTGCCAGGCTGGAATGCTCCCCTGGGAGTGGATAATGTGCGTCCATTGAATGCGAGCAAGCCTGAATTCGATGACAGAGGAAATGAATATGTAAAGTGCTTAGAGACATTGTCAATGTATTAGACACTATATAAACATAGACAATTATAATATGATGTTATGAAGTGCTGTATCAATTTGTTTTCCTTTTGTATATGTCCGGGCAGAAGAGCACAAATGGGTAGCCAGCAGACGAACATTTTGGAAATTCAAGTTTTTACCGCTCTTCGACTATATCTACACAACACATATCTGTTTATTGGTGATAGTGATTGGTGAAACTACTTCTCTGTTTCATATCTTTTCCCTTTCATTACAAGACTACAATTTAATATTTCAGCCAAACTTGGTTGGCCCTTCTGCGGGGCATATGACAAATTGCGTTGTTAGTATTTCAGAAGATATATCATACCTTTTTTTTCTTTTTTTTTCCATTCCTATTCTTGTGGAATATTCCATTATATATACAGGGCAGTATGTATTGGAGGGGATACACTCACCAATCAAGCAGTGCATGGTTTGCTACAGAGAGCTCAGAGGGATGCAGGTATAGAAATATCACCGGACACCCCTATGGCTAAATGTAGGATCCCACTTGGCATTATACCAACAGGTAAATAGTACAATGCATTTTCCCTATGTGAAGTAGATTTATTAATAACTTTGGGAAATAATGATGTTCCCCTATCTCATTTGTCTGTTACCAAGAAGAATAAATGAATGAATAAATGTGGATGTATTGAAGTTGGGGAAAGACTTTGCATTATAAGTATAGTCCAAGTGGCAATTTCGGGAAAAAGAGATAACTTTATCAATTAATCAGAAAGGGAAAATCTTTTCTTTTGAATTGAATAAAAATATCTGTGCCCTGTATCACTTTAAAGCCTGTCTGCACTAGTTTGGCCAGGGGATTAGACCTCCCTGCATGGTCACTGACAGGTGGTTATCTCATCAAATCAGCTCTCAATTAACATAAGAAAAAGGAGATCATGGGGGACCAACAGGCACCGATTGTGCATTGTTTGATATATAGAGGGCGCAAGTAGTGCAGTGGGCTTTACATGTTATCAAAAGTTTATTAACCTTTGAATATGAATAAGTAAGTCTTGAAGATGACTTTCACAGTGTAAGGTCATGACAGGTGACAGGATGTCAAAATCTCAACCTAGATTCAACCAGACCAAATGGGTTGCAATATACAACATACCAATGAGAGCCATTGTTGAGCTGGATGTGATATACACCTAAGATATTTAGAAGCCCATCAAGGAATGAAATGAACAAGATTCAACCAGACCAAACTGGTTGCAATGTACAACATACCAATGATAGCCATTGTTAAGCAGGATGTAATATACACCAAAGATATTTAGAAGCCCATCAAGGAATGAAATGAACAAGAAATCAACATTTATGAAATTTGGCCTCCTACAAAGGAATTATGAAATCAACGAGAAATTCGCATTCAAGAAATTTGAAAAGAGCCACAAGGGAATGGAATAAACAAGAAATCAATATTCAAGAATTAGTCTAGTCAAATTAGCGAATTTCAGGCATAACCAAAATCAAATTGCATTTTTTATGCCTCCGCCACCGAAGGTGGTGCCGGAGGCATCATGTTTTCGGGTTGTCCGTCCGTACGTCCGTACGTCCGTCCGTACGTCCGTCCGTACGTCCGTCCCGTTTGACCGTTATCACAATATCTCAAGAACCATTTAAGATTTAAACTTAAGACTCGGGAATAGTATTTATCACCATAGGAAGACGATCTGATTAGATTTTGGAGTACGTAGGTCAAAGGTCACAGGTCATAGAGGTCAACTTATGAAATTCCTTGTATTGAGTTTGTTAGCGCGATATCTCAAGAACCATTTGAGATTTAAACTTCAAACTTAAGGATAGTATGTATCACCATAGGAAGACGATCTGATTAGATTTTGGAGCACGTATGTCAAAGGTCAAGGGTCACAGAGGTCAACTTATGAAATTCCATACATTGAGATTGTTATCATGATATCTCAAGAACCACTGGAGATTTAAACTTCAAACTTAGTGATAGTGTGTATCACTATAGGAAAACAATCTGATTACATTTTGGAGCACGTAGGTCAAAGGTCAAGGGTCATAGAGGTCAACTTATGAAATTCCATACATTGAGATTGTTATCATGATATCTCAAGAACGACTAGAGATGTAAAAACTTCAAACTTAAGGATAGTATGTATCACCATAGGAAGACGATCTGATTAGATTTTGGAGCACGTAGGTCAAAGGTCAAGGGTCACAGAGGTCAACTTATGAAATTCCATACATTGAGATTGTTATCATAATATCTCAAGAACCACTGGAGATTTAAACTTCAAATTTAATGATAGTGTGTATCACCATAGGAAGACAATCTGTTTAGATTTTGGAACACGTAGGTCAAAGGTCAAGGGTCACAGAGGTCAACTTATGAAATTCCATACATTGAGATCGTTATCGCGATATCTCAAGAACCACTGGAGAATTTTCACTTCAAACTTAATGATAGTATGTATCACCATATCATAATATCTCAAGAACCACTGGAGATTTAAACTTCAAACTTAATGATAGTGTGTATCACCATAGGAAGACAATCTGATTAGATTTTGGAGCACGTAGGTCAAAGGTCAAGGGTCACAGAGGTCAACTTATGAAATTCCATACATTGAGATTGTTATCATGATATCTCAAGAACCACTGGAGATTTAAACTCCAAACTTGTTTAAATTGCTCTATGGCGGAGGCATCATTTTCGACTGCGCGCAGTCAAAATTCCATCTAGTTTTGTATTCCCTTGCAGTGATCTTATGAATATTTCTCAAAATAACATACTAAAAGTTAGGGGAATGTAAGTTGTGGAAGCAATGAAATTTGCATAATATACACTTAGCTATTGTCTTATTATCCATGTTTTTGCTGACCATATAACTGACCATCACTTTGGGCAAAAAAACTATTTAAATTTGCTAAAATTAATATCTCTGAAATAGTCTAAAAACAATTTATTACTGGATAACTAGAGTATTAAGCTCCACTCTATGGCAAAAGTAAAAATATCTAATGAAGTGATGTGCTAATTTGGCAGAATGTTATTTTCTTCCCTCTTTCTTATCATTTGTTTAGGGTTGTTCAACATTGTAGCTCACTCTACACAGGGTATCAGCAGTACAGTGACTGCCACACTTCACATCATACTGGGTCTGTATCCAATCCACAGAGTATACATGCTTTTGCGCTTTTTCCTTACAGTAACAAAGCGCTTCTCATAGTATTCCACATGGTTGTACATGTATAAGAGCTGCTTAAACGATAATAAAGTTAATTATTTGTACATCTCATATTTCTTTTGAATTATAGTACCGTTGAACAGCGAATTGGAGAGTTGAAGCAAATTAATGAGTTCACAGTCATGACCTTTGTATCAGTTTCTTTTCATTCACATAGATGTAGTAATATCGGGTCAATGTCGCTATTCATAAGGACCGCTATTCATAAGGTCCGCTATTCATAAGGTCCATTATTCATAAGGACCGCTATTCATAAGGTCCGCTTTTCATAATTGGAGAAAAGGGTCATTATTCATAAGGGTCATTATTCATAAGGACCGCTATTCATAATCAAAGAAGAGGGTCGATATTCATAATATTAAAAGAGGGTCGCTATTCATAATAGGAAATCGGGGTCGTTATTCATAAGGGTCCCTGTTCATAATATTACAAAAGGGTCGGTATTCATAACACAGAAAGAGGGTCGCTATTCATAATACGAAATGAGGGTCGCTATTCATAATACGAAATGAGGGTCGCTATTCATAATGCAAAATGAGGGTCGTTATTCATAAGGGTTATTATTCATAAGGGTCATTATTCATAATAAGAAATGAGGGTCGCTATTCATAAAAGGAGAAGAGGGTCGCTATTCATAATAGAAGAAGAGGGTCGCTATTCATAATAGGAAATGAGGGTCGCTATTCATAATAAGAAATGAGGGTCGCTATTCATAATAGAAGAAGAGGGTCGCTATTCATAATAGGAGTAGAGGGTCGCTATTCATAATAAGAAATGAGGGTCGCTATTCATAATAGGAGAAGAGGGTCGCTATTCATAATGGGAGAAGAGGGTCGCTATTCATAATAGGAGTAGAGGGTCGCTATTCATAATAAGAAATGAGGGTCGCTATTCATAATAGGAGAAGAGGGTCGCTATTCATAATAGAAGAAGAGGGTCGCTATTCATAATAGGAGTAGAGGGTCGCTATTCATAATAGGAGTAGAGGGTCGCTATTCATAATAAGAAATGAGGGTCGCTATTCATAATAGGAGAAGAGGGTCGCTATTCATAATAGGAGTAGAGGGTCGCTATTCATAATAGGAAATGAGGGTCGCTATTCATAATAGGAAATGAGGGTCGCTATTCATAATAGGAGCAGGGGGTCGCTATTCATAATAGGAGAAGAGGGTCGCTATTCATAATAAGAAATAAGGGTCGCTATTCATAATATGAAATGAGGGTTGCTATTCATAATACGAAATGAGGGTCGCTATTCATAATAAGAAATGAGGGTCGCTATTCATAATAGGAGTAGAGGGTTGCTATTCATAATACGAACTGAGGGTCGCTATTCATAATAAGAAATGAGGGTCGCTATTCATAATAGGAGTAGACGGTCGCTATTCATGATACGAAATGAGGTTCGCTATTCATAATACGCCCCCCCCCCTCGGCTACGTTCCTGGTCCTGTAGGGGGGGGCGATATATAGCCCTGAATAGTTGTCTCTTTTTAAAGTAATTATATTTTATCTGTTATCTTTGATAATTATATAGAGCCACCCCCGCTCATGTGGTGACGAAAAAAAAAGTAAAACATAACACACATGTAATCCTATCGTAAATTGTCCTCCTTGTTGGAAATCTTGCCCCACCACCCTGCCCCCGACTGATCTTATCCAGGCTACGCCACTGAGATATAAAGTACGCCAAGCAGGCCCATTATCCATTTTAGCTTGCTATTTAAGAAACTAGTAATTGTTTATACGACAATAATGTTTTTGTAGAAAGTAATTTTTATTAGGAGTTATGGACCTACAAATTACTGAGCGGAATTGGACCTGACAATTGGACCTAAGCCCAGTATCTACCGATCCCCCGAGCCCCCCCCCCCCCCCTCATCAGTACGCCCCGGCGCGGATCCAGAACTTTCCAATTTTTGGGGGGGGACGGAAATTTGAAAAATGCGCAGAACTCAACAGAACTCAACATACCAATACTGACAAGGTCATATTAGAAGCACGATACGGGTACCTAGAAGCAGGAACAATTTTGGAAAGGGGTGCAAGCTCACTTCACGTCTCTTGTCCGATATCAACATTCCCCGTTTTTAAGATATACATTTTTTTGACATTTTCATCGGGGGGGGGGGCTAAAGCCTCTTGCCCGAAAAGGTAATTTTCTAGTTCACAATTCTGCTTGTGAGCGAAACGAGCGAGCAAAAATTTGAGCATTATATGTTTTTTGTGAAAGTGTTATTTATCACCAAGATAAACAAGAAAAGATATCAAAAATTCATATTCGGGCAGCTTGCTGTACCCCCTCCCCCCCCCCCCCCTTCCCCTCCCCCACCCATTACGCGCGAAAGCTTTGAACTTTCATTAATTATTAGAAAAAGAAGACGATTTATTGTACCATTCTCAACTCTTAATCCTTGTCTGAATTCAGTTTTCCCCCTCTTGCGCAAAGCGCGTAAGCTTTGACCTTTCATTGTTTAATGCAATTATTAGAGAAAGAAGATGATTCGTTGTTCCATTCTCGACTCTTAATCCTTGTCTAAATTCAGTTTCCCCCCTCCCGCGCAAAACGTGGAAGCTTTGATGTTTCATTAAATTATTAGAGAAAGAAGAGGATTTGTTGTACCATTCTCGATTATTAATCCTTGTCTGAATTCAGTTCCCACCCCCACCCGCGATTCGTTGTACCATTCTCGAGCCTTTTCCTTGTCTGATTTGAGTTTCCCCACCCCCTCCCGCGCGAAGCGCGGAAGCTTTGACCTTTCATAGTTTAATGAAATTATTAGAGAAAGAAGACGATTCGTTGTTCCATTCTCGACTCTACGCGCCTGCCTTAAAGGGAAAATGAAACAATCATGATTGTGATAGCACACAATAATGTTAGTAGAAATAGTAAAGAACAAAAATTATTGCAACAACCATGGATAAATCACGGCCGGTAGCGTGGGCCGAGTGTCATATCATACATAGTTTTGTGTTATTGGGCGAGGGGGGGGGGGGTGGTAGCGACCAAGCGAGACTTTGCAATGTTGAATGCTGACATTATGCACTCTAAGAATCCCTAAGCCCAATATGTACGTTCTTTCCGCTATATATCTTTCTACCCCTTACTCCTATCCTATTATGAATAGCGACCCTCTTCTCCTATTATGAATAGCGACCCTCTTCTCCTATTATGAATAGCGACCCTCTTCTCCTATTATGAATAGCGACCCTCTTCTCCTATTATGAATAGCGAACCTCATTTCGTATTATGAATAGCGACCCTCTTCTCCTATTATGAATAGCGACCCTCTTCTCCTATTATGAATAGCGACCCTCTTCTCCTATTATGAATAGCGACCCTCTTCTCCTATTATGAATAGCGACCCTCTTCTCCTATTATGAATAGCGACCCTCTTCTCCTATTATGAATAGCGACCCTCATTTCCTATTATGAATAGCGACCCTCTTCTCCTATTATGAATAGCGACCCTCTTCTCCTATTATGAATAGCGACCCTCTTCTCCTATTATGAATAGCGACCCTCTTCTCCTATTATGAATAGCGACCCTCTTCTCCTATTATGAATAGCGACCCTCATTTCCTATTATGAATAGCGACCCTCTTCTCCTATTATGAATAGCGACCCTCTTCTCCTATTATGAATAGCGACCCTCTTCTCCTATTATGAATAGCGACCCTCATTTCCTATTATGAATAGCGACCCTCTTCTCCTATTATGAATAGCGACCCTCTTCTCCTATTATGAATAGCGACCCTCATTTCCTATTATGAATAGCGACCCTCTTCTCCTATTATGAATAGCGACCCTCATTTCGTATTATGAATAGCGACCCTCTTCCCGTGTTATGAATAGCGACCCTTATAAGTAATGAACCTTATTTCGTATTATGAATAGCGACCCTCTCGTCGTATTATGAATAGCGACCCTGATTTCATATTATGAATAGCGGTCCTTATGATCAATGACCCTTAATATGAATTATGAATAGCGACCCTCATCTCACGTTATGAATAGCGGTCCTTATGATTAACGAACCTTATTTCATTATGAATAGTGACCCTCTTTTGCCATTATGAATAGCGGACCCGGAAGTACGGGAATTTACACGTTATGAATAGCGGTCCTTATGAATAGCGGACCTTATGAATAGCGGTCCTTATGAATAGCGAATAGACCCCGTAATATCATACTTCAAATATTAGTAACTTTCGTGTCATTTGACAGTTTTATTTTTTTTCTTCAAATATCACAAACTTTTAATCTGATTTTTCTGCTTTTCTACTTATAGCTACTTGCGCCCTCTATATAGCAAACAATGCATAATCGGTGCCTGTTGGTCCCCCATGATTCCCTTTTTATTATGTTAATTGAGAGCTGATTTGATGAGATAACCACCTGTCAGTGAACTTGCAGGGAAGTCTACACCCCCTGGCCAAATTAGTACAGACAGGCTTTAATGTGTGTAATTGTTTTTTTAAACGAGATTTTACAAAATTAATGTGTATCAATCAGGGCCCACCTTATAAACAATTTATATTAATTACATCAAATTTCAATGTATTTGTTACCTCTTTTGTTGTTTTGTTACCCAGGCCATCTACAACCTGTCGATGTGTGTTCCATGTACACAGAGGAAGGTTTTCTTCGATTTGGTTTCTCTGTCATGTATGGATTTGGTAGCGATTGTTTGAGGCGAGCCGTCAAATCACAACATGTCCTGAAATCCAAATCAGCGGAGTATGCTATGGCTAAGAGTCTAGTCAAACTTAGGTGAGTTGAGAATTGGGGAAGCACTAGCAGTGGGAGGGAGGTGGGGGGGGGGGGCTATAGGGGCATGTGCCTGCCCCCCCCCCCCCTTTGAAGACAAGCTTAGCTAAAGGGGTCCTAAAAACCATTCATTTTATGATGTAATCAAGTTAATATATGTTGATTGAGGTACTATTACCAGTCTCTTTTTATGTAAAAGATTGTATCATGTTTTGTGTGGTTTTGAATAAGATGAACTAAAAATGAACTTGATAAAAGAAAAACACAGAGAGAAATGGAGAGCGTACAGGCAATGACAAAAGAGGATAGGAGTCCTCTCCCTACACCCTCGCTTCCCTCCTTGGTCTTTTTCTCTTAAAATTTCATGTGTACCTAGTAATACCAAGCCCCCCCCCCCCCCCCAATTTACATCAGTTTCCCTTTGATGAATTGACTACTAATTGGCTTAGCATCATAATCTGCTCATGCATACAAATATGTCAGAAATTAAAATAATTATAATAATACTAATAATTGCTTGTCGGGCGCATAATTATAATATCTTTATTCTGTTTTTGTTTGGCATCTTTTTGTTGTTGTCTGTAGATCGTACGAGTGTGAAGTGAGTTATATTCCCTTGGATAAACAAAATACCAAAGCTACAGAAAAGGACACAACCACTTGTATGAAAGGGTAAGTCTAGGAATACATATTTAATTCATTTTTATTCATTTCTTTTTTGTTAATTTCATTTTGTATTGTAGCACTGGATATTGTGTATTTGATCACAACTGATTAGCACATTCCTTATTCTCATTCTTCATTTTTCGTTTTATCAGAGAATGCAACAGAATAGGATAATGTGAATTACAAATTTGACAATGAGCAAAGATAATACAAATATACAGTTAGTGCATTTCAGTGACATACATGTACCTTTCTGTAAAAGGGGAAAAGAAAGAATGAAAAAAGAAGCAGCTTTCAAGTTGTTGGGTATGTAGAAAAATTAGAGTTAAAGGTATGATCTACATGCATTCCCATTCTAGCAGTTCATTTTGCTTGCATCATACTATATGATTCACCTATGTTGTCCTTTTGTTTGGAAATCCCCAAATAGATGAATACAAATGTAACTGTTCTACTGTGATATTCAAAGGGTATAAATCTTCCTTCTCACAGGTGCAAGGTTTGTGGCCACGCCCCTGATCTGACCCACCTGGTCCACTCCACCCCACTCCCTCTCCGCCCAAAGGACAGCCCCCTGGCCCTCCGCAAGCTCAGCACCCACCGACCTTCCCTCGGGGCGCCGCTGGGGGCCAATCCCAACACCAATCCTCGGTCCAGTCCCAACTCCAGCCCAATGCCGACCAGACGTAGCATGGGAGCATCCGTCCCTTCTCTTCCGATGATCGCATGGAGCGTGGAGTCCGTACAGAGCTCGTCTGAGGAGTGTTTAGTGACGCCAAAGAAGAAGAGTAGCAGAGACATTGTCAAATCCATTTTTAAGAGAGGTACGTATATATCAGGCATGATTTGTAATTTTTTTTCCCTATTTTTTTCTTCTTTTTTCCCCCGATTTTTTTTTTCTCCTGAGTTTTCCCGATTTTACTCTTAGGCGAGGCGTCAAAAATATTGATACCAGCAGGCTGCCGCCTCACGTATTGGCGCATCGAGGCTGCAATTACGGCCGAAGCCTGGCTGGGGCAATTATTTTTCACTTATTAGCCCAGCCGGCTTGCGCCAGGCTGGGATCTGAGGCTCGGTTTCCATTCGAAAGGCGGCAGCCGGCGCATGCTTTTGTTCGGAGACCATTATGATGACATCATGAGTTAATTGAGGGTCCTACCGCCAGCGGTAGCCGGCTGAGCTAATTTAAAAAATGCAGCCAGGACGCACAAGTGCAGTTAGCTGCCGCTGGCCGGTATATTTATTTTTGACGCCTCGCCTTACCGGTATTTTTCCTGATTTTTTTCTATTTTTCCCCCAATTTTCCTACTTTAAAGGGGGGAATGTTGTTAGATGCATTTTTTCCCCCGAACACTTTTTGTTGTTGTTGTTGTTGTCAAGTGGGGTTGGGGGGTGGGGGGGGGGGTTTTAGTGCTTAATATCACCCCTGATATATTGCCATTGATAAAAACAAACAAGGATTGTTTGCAATTAATTCCTAAGCACTGTAATAGCTCCTATGCTGTAGAGGTGGTAGTACTACCGAAGCACCAAGAGTGTCATGGGAACTTGAAAGATATTCAAGGACTTGCTATCATGAGTGTTGGGTGACCTAACCTTAGCGTTGTTGTACTATGTAGAACCAAGTATTTCTGTATTTTCCTTGTCATTTTTATTTATCAGTATTTTTTTTTGGTACCGTTTTTTAATATTTTTTTCATCAACTCTGAACAAAATCAAATTCCTCCTTTCAGGTTATGAGTCGTCATCCTCCTCTGCCCCCAACTCCAGACCCAGTAGTGCAGCATGGGGGGATAAAGACACCCCTCAAACGGGCGTGACTGGTATCCAGAGGGGCGCTGATACCACACAGAGGAACCTCAGGAATGCCTTCACCATTGGAGCTGGCGACCAATCATTAGGAATACCCACCGTTCACGTGACCCATGATTTGGGGTCTAAGAGTGACATAGCTTGTGCTCAGAAAGGCATTGGTATACTTCCCACTACTGGTGAGAAATATTTCAAACCGTTAATTTTGATCGGGGTCTTATTTTCAAGACTTTCTGGACGGTTATCCAACATTTGCTCTTGCGACTCATTCCCCGGGCATTATTTTGTCAAAGATGTGAAGTTAGGATTGCAGTTGGCATTTATGCTAGGTTTAGGATTCATGTTCAGGAAGAGGTATAGGTTTTTTTTCTATTAATGAAATAATCGATAATGGAGTGTTTGCTGCCAGTGATAATATAAATAATTTCAGCAAAATTTATCATGCTCATCCCAGTTGGTGCTAAAGGTATCTGAGATGGCATAATGTTACCCTGGCTTAGCTAAGCTGGCCTAAGGTGATTTAGGGTCCTTTAGAATGTGTGTAATGTTATGCATTAAACCAATACTGACTTGGAATGAATACATATGCTTACCAAAATATGTAGAGCTTAATTCCAAAAGGAGCTAAATCCACTTTTGATGAAATTGAGTTATTGATATCAGAACATTGTTCAGTTAAACACATCAATTTTGGGAGCAATTATGAAAAAATGCACCTTCTAATATCACTTTTCCATAGAAGCCTGTACAAAATCTGGTAAACAATTTGTTTTTTCTCCGAAGTTACAAAATTGGATTTAGCTCCTCTTGGAATTAAACTTTTCATATATTCTTTGTTCATACCAACAGACTCGAATCATTCACCTCGATCTGGTGTGGAATGGCTGAAGTTTCAGGATTCCTTCATCAGCATCGGCATCGTCACCTTGCCCAACCGAAGCCAGCTGGTTCCCCGTGGTCTCGCTCCCGGCGGCCATCTTGCAGATGGTCGTGCTGACCTCATCCTGGTCAGGAAGGTCAACAGGAAGGAGTTCAGGAAATTCCTACAGCATCATGGGAATGAGGAAGACCAGGTCAGTTGTAGTTGTGACATTTGTGCTTTGCAGTGGTTCATCTCATATGATGCTCCGGTGACAATTGCTAACCTGTCAATACTCTATATATTCAGCTATATATTCAGCTCCAGAACCAAACACTATTCCTACATGTACATGTAACGTTAACCCTAACCCTAAACCTAACTCTAAACCTAAACCAATACTCTACATTAATTGAATTCTTTACTTCAACTCTAGCACCAAACACTATTCCTGCATGTAAACTTAATCCCAACCCTAAACCTAATGCTTACTCTAACCTTAACAAATAATCTACATTAATTTAATTTTTAACTTCTAACTCTAGCACCAAACAATTTTTCTACTTAAACATAAATCTAAACCTAACCCTAACCCTATCCCAAAACATAATCCAAAATTAGTTGTAGTATGGAGCAGTTGTCACTGAGCCCGGTAAAGTGGGTTATATTCTCAGGCATCGATCTACCCACCGGACCTCATTGTTTCTTCACCTCTCTAGGCAAATGCCACAATAAAGTGATCTGACATTTCCTCCTGGCTTTTTTGAAAGCAAAGATGTAACATTAATTAGGGCTTTGTGTGGAGTTGAGTGTGGGTTAGGGTTAGGATTAGGGATAATTCTAGGCTTAGTTGGAATAGTTGGTCCAGTATCGATTATGATTGAACATAAAGTGAGTTCATGGGCTTCACGCTATGAGTATTTTATGTTTTGAATATTAGTCTTGTCTGTTCAGTCATGACACAAGGAATTGAACTTATCTGATAGTTTAGGATAGCTCAAACCAAATTTCTTGTGATGAGATCTAGGTCATCCAATATTCCATCACTATTACTCTATTCTTTTTTGTTTTGATAGTTTGATTTCCCATTTGTATGGAAGCATCTCATATTTTGGCATAGCTAAAACATAATTTCTTGTGATAAGATCTAGGTCATCCGATATTCCATCACTATTACTCTTACTCTATTCTTTTATGTTTCAATAGTTTGATTTCCCATTGGTATGGAGCATCTGGTTTTTTTGGCATAGCTCATACAACAAATTTTGTTGATAGCATCAAGGTAATCCATTAATTATTACATCACTGTTACTTTTACTCTTTTTTTTATTTTTGTTTGGATAGTTTGATTTTCCCTTTGTATGGAAGCATCAAGTGAAGGCAGTTCAGATCAGGCCTCTGCTCAGCAGTGACGACCTGAGCTCACCCAGGCTTGAAAAACAGATGAAACTTCTGACATGGAACGTTGACATGGAGCTAGTCAGGGCAGACTTCATTGAATTGAGGTGAGAACATCTTCCTATCCCTCAGGGTTTGTTCAGATATGACATCTTAAACCACCACTAAAAAAGACCCCCAAAACGACCAACATGCTTTGAACATGTGGAAATGAATGACAAATGCATGCAACAAAGGTCCTGCACGTGTTCACTGAGCTCTGTGTTATAAGATACTGAAATGTGAAGCTTATTTTACGTCGTCATAAAAAGTACCGAGTCTTGCGGTATCATATCTGAATGAGGCTATAAAACTTTACACAATGCAAATTTTCTACCCGGTATTTCTCTGCTCATTTATGGTGGTCTTTTACTTAATTTGTTGAATGAACTTCAACCTGAATGCACTTGAGAAATGAAGAATTAAAATAAAATATCAAAAATATGACTATATCAGTATATACATTTTCTTGACTAAATGAACGGGTTCCCTATACAGTAATGGAAAAGGAGATGTGATTTCAACTCTCACACTGTTAGAGCCTTCCATACTTTCTTGGTGTTTGAGCACTGTCTAGACTGCAACAGTGTTGGAACCTGGACCACCATTTAATATAATATGAAAATTAAGTCACAATTTACTTAGCATTTAGCTTAGCTAAGTAAAATGACTTAAGCCTTGCTCGGGTCACATCTAAGTATTTTACTTTAGTTGAACAGCTTGAAGCAAAAATAGCAAAGTAATTGACTTATGTCTGCTAGGGAGCTTACAGAGACTTAGGGTCAAAGATTCAACTGAATATTATAGTTTGATAAGTATCTTATTCAAGCATAAAACCAAGTAAAATACTCATATTTATGACTTAACTATTGAATTGAGCACTGAATTAAGCAGGACATTGCGATTGCAGCTCCACAGAGTAAACCATCATTTTCCTGATGATGTCTGAACTGTCTATCGCACACTCGGCAGTCTCAATGAATGAGCAATATCACATGTTTGTTTTGTTTCTCCAGGGTTCATCGTCAGCTGTTGGCTGTGTTCGGAGAAGGTGTTCTGGATGATGACTTCCCAACGACATCCTGCAGATGCTTATAACATCCAACTGGTGATGCGATATCTGTTCTGACAGCATTTGCTCCGATGATATTCCATCTGCTGGCATTTGCTCTGATGACATTTGCTTCGACGACACTTACTCTAATGACGTTTGTTTCAACAACATTTGCTCTGATGACATTTGCTGCAACAACGTTTGCTCTGAAGGCATTTGCCCCAACAACGTTTGCTCTGATGACATTTGCTGCAACAACGTTTGCTCTGAAGGCATTTGCCCCGACAACATTTGCTCTGATGACATTTGCTGCAACAACATTTGCTCTCATGACATTTGCTGCAACAACGTTTGCTCTGAAGGCATTTGACCCAACAACTTTTGCTCTGATGACATTTGCTCTGATGACATTTACTCAGATGACGTTTACTCTGATGTTTACTCTGACGACATTTACTCTGATGACATGGTATTTATTTGCTCCGATGACCTTTTATTACTCAGATGGCATTTGCTCTGATGACATTTGCTCCGATGACCTTTAATCAGATGGCATTTGCTCTGATGACATTTACTCTGATGGCATTTGCTCTGATGACATTTGCTCTGATGGCATTTACTCTGATGACATTTACACTGACGACACCTTCTGCTAGGGCAGAAAGTTCATCTGTTCAGAATCGCTTTAAATTCTTGTTTGATAAAGGAAATTAGACCAATACTATTTTCCCTATGCTAAGTATTTATTTAATTAAGCAGTGCTTTATCTCAGCATTTAGTTTAAATGAAATAGTACAATGCAGGCCAAAATATTTCTTCCTTTCATATATTAGTATTGATACTCATCTCAATGTTTTTTTCAGGTCATGCTAATTTTCAGTTTTAACTTAATAGAGCTATAAAAAAAAGTGTTTTCTACCGTTATTCCATGAACTTGAATTGATTTACAGTAATAATTAATGTAATATCTTGCCAGTTGTATACAACAATTGTGCAAAATTCACCAAAAAAAGATGATTTTATATGAGATATTCAATGAAATAGTCAAATGAATTTGTATTCCGCTATATATTGTGTAAATGAGTTTTATAGTGAATTAGTGAAACTGATTTGTCAAAATCTATATATTTTTAAGCAATGTACTATTGAAATGTAAGTGTGTGCTCTTTGTCAATCTATGCCAAATCTAGTAAATATAAAGTGCTCATTAGGTTTGTTTTTGTGCAGCTCTTGCATGCTAAAAATGGAAGTCGTAACTAAACTCCCTACCCCCCCCCCCCCTCCAAAGTAAGTATTGTCACATTCTCAAGGAAGTATATTGCTTGATACATGTATTTTTAATGACAGCAATAAGACCCTTATTATTAAGGTCTTTTGATAATATGAACTTTTATATTAAAGTATGAGATGTTTGAGATCTCTATTAAAGGTAAAGACCGGTATTGGAAATGCCCCAATTTCAAAAAATGAAATGGAAGCTCTCATTACCAATCATGTGAAAGAATATGTTTTGACTAATACAAGATGATAACAAATTTGCCGGGAAACCACCTACTAATTCATATATTTGGTAAATTTGTTTCTCTCATAGTCTGTGAGAGATATAGGGTAGTCCCATATACATCTTTCTGTGTATAGTGCTTGTAACTTTACTAAGAATGGGCCAAATTTCTTATCATTTTGATGATTCCAGAACCTTGCAGATGCTAGATGCTAGATGATCAACCTTTTTTGATCGATTCCACGTTTCTTTCACAATGCAATCGCATGACCATAACTGGTCTTTACCTTTAAACCTCATCATTAGCAAATATTCTTATTAGGAACACCAGCTATGTCTTTAACCAGTATGTCCTAATTCCTGATTTTTTTTTGTTGCTATTCTGTCTTGTTCCTCTTTTTTTCTATGCTTGTCTTGAGCAATGCATTCAAATTTCATTTATTTTATGCCACAGTTATTTTCAATAAACATATTTTAAATGAGTCCATTTGATTTATATTTTAATTTCAAAGAATACACTTCTTTTATTTTCTTTAGGTCAAAATTGAATGTTAAATTTTATATCTTGTATTTCTTTATACTCAAACATGTTTGAGTTGAAATTTGTTTTATTCAAAGCATATTCTTGTTAAAGGTAAAACAAAAGGACCACATTTTCATTTTTTTCCTTTAAAAAATAATTACACTCCCGACTTGTATGTCCACAAGGCTAATTAAATCTGTTTAAACATGAAATGCAGGGTAGGGAAAGAAAAGTGCATACATTGTATTTAACCCATGTGACAAATATGGGTGTACTTTTCTGTGTGTCAATGTGCCTTCCTAGTTTATTGTAAAATTTCATTTTATATAGCTTTTATAATATCACCTTGAATTTCTTATGAAATGTACTCGCATTCATGCAAACTATATATGTGCATTCCATACTTTATTATCATATCTATGATGCCTTCTTATCTCAGTGTGCTATTTGAATATGCAAATTATATCAGCCTTTTTAATGTTTGAGTGTTAGATATCCTATATTACATTCCATTTATCAATTATATATAATACACTGCAGTAATAAATACATACAAAGAATTGTAAATGAATATATGTATTTTATTTCAAATGCTCTTTTTATATGTGCATTTGCATACAAAACAAGTGTTTGACATGCATGTTATAAAATTTGTTATGACTTTATACAATTCAATTATACATTTCATCATTAGTGTATCTTTGCATTGTATCTTTGGAAAGACAAATAACCTATTCTTCATATTGCTAGTTTGCATAGTGAAGTAACCTTTTGACATACAAGTACACTGTAGGTGTATTGTATGGCAGTACAAGAAATATGATAATAGGGAAGAAATTTGTGTAAAGAGGGCACAAGATGTGGAGATTGTGGGGAGAAAGAGGGAGAGAGAGAGAGAGAGAGAGAGAGGGAGATGCTGATAGGTAGAGTAATAAAGAGAGAGAGAGAGAGGGAGATGCTGATAGGTAGAGTAATAAAGGGAGAGAGAGAGGGAGATGCTGATAGGTAGAGTAATAAAGGGAGAGAGAGAGAGAGAGAGGGAGATGCTGATAGGTAGAGTAATAAAGGGAGAGAGAGAGAGAGAGGGAGATGCTGATAGGTAGAGTAATAAAGGGAGAGAGAGAGAGGGAGATGCTGATAGGTAGAGTAATAAAGGGAGAGAGAGAGAGAGAGGGAGATGCTGATAGGTAGAGTAATAAAGGGAGAGAGAGAGAGGGAGATGCTGATAGGTAGAGTAATAAAGGGAGAGAGAGAGAGAGAGGGAGATGCTGATAGGTAGAGTAATAAAGGGAGAGAGAGAGAGGGAGATGCTGATAGGTAGAGTAATAAAGGGAGAGAGAGAGAGGGAGATGCTGATAGGTAGAGTAATAAAGGGAGAGAGAGAGAGGGAGATGCTGATAGGTAGAGTAATAAAGGGAGAGAGAGAGAGAGAGAGAGAGAGGGAGATGCTGATAGGTAGAGTAATAAAGGGAGAGAGAGAGAGAGAGAGAGAGAGGGGAGATGCTGATAGGTTAGAGTAATAAAGGGAGAGAGAGAGGGAGATGCTGATAGGTAGAGTAATAAAGGGAGAGAGAGAGAGGGAGATGCTGATAGGTAGAGTAATAAAGGGAGAGAGAGAGAGAGAAAGCAGGGGTAGAGGAGAGAGAGAAAGAGAAAGAGAGCGCAAGAGAGAGAGAGATAGAGATGTTGATAGGTAGAGTAATAAAGGGAGAGAGAGAGAGGGAGATGCTGATAGGTAGAGTAATAAAGGGAGAGAGAGAGAGAGAGAGAGGGAGATGCTGATAGGTAGAGTAATAAAGGGAGAGAGAGAGAGAGAAAGCAGGGGTAGAGGAGAGAGCAAGAGAAAGAGAGCGAAAGAGAGCAAGAGAGAGAGATAGAGAAGTTGAGATAGAGTGGAGAGGGAGAAAGAGAGCCAACAAAAATATAGGGGGAAGGTAAGAGAGATGTACATGTAGGAGAGGAAGATTAAGAGAAAGGCATCGAGGGTGTGGGGCTGGCGATGAAGATTAACATGTCTCCCTGAAGCATACCTGCCAACCCTTCCAAATAATCCACAATATTCTGATTTTCTAGATTTATAGGACCTAAAAATTCAGAATATTCTGATTTTTGTTGTTGTTTTTTGGTTTTTTTGTTGTTGATAAAGCCAAATTAGGAGTTCACGTATTGCATGCGTTGAATGGTTGCATGACCGCACATTGCCAGTCACGATGCCGCTGCATGTGCAAACGCCTGTTAAGGGTACAAATTTCGTATTTCCGAAGGCATACCGTGCTAGAAATTCCTAATTCCTAAATGTTGGCAGGTATGCTGAAGGTGGTGACACGACATTTGCTCCTGCGACAATTGCTCCGGGCTTTATTTCGTCTAAGATGTAGGGTTAGGGTTAGGGTTTCAATAGGGTTTTATGTTAGGTTTAGGGTTAGGTTTAGGGTAGGGTATAGTGTTGAATCCAGGGTTGAAGTTAGCCATTCGATTAGTGTATGAAATTTACAGCGGAGCAATTGTCGCCGGAGCAAATGTCATGGAATCCTGAAGGTATCGACAATCGTTGGTCCATGTTCCTGATAGGCTTTCTTAGTAATCCACATTCCTTTATAAGCCGACAACGAGGCAAGAATTGAACCCCCAAGCCAAACAGATTTCCTTCGCTCAGGAGGGCAGATGACCTTCAACGTTTCTTGTGGGACGCCCCGGCTTACTAGCTCTTGCTTCAAACGTCCACCAAATCCCCTGTGCATGGAATTTCCGCCGGTTACAACAACGTTTTCGTACAACGTTCTTCGGGTATCCACGTTGCAACGCTGCAAACCACAATATGCTATATCGGCTATACCGGATCCATAGTTCAGCTTTGTATCTTCATCACGGAGAAGAGCCGGTTTGAACATGGCCTCCATGCATTGAAACAATTCCTGACCGAGTACTATCTCTTGGCCATCGGGTAGCTGGTATCGTTCGGTTCTAATCTGAGTGCATGCCATTTCCCTCTCGAAGTCTTCTGCCACGTAGCAACATCTTTCCTTGATTTCTCTCACGATTTCCCGCTCAGCTGTTGAAAATAATTGATGAAAGGTAGCAGCATATTTGTATCTTTATGCCAATTAATTTGTGAACTTGCCATTTAAAAAAAAAAAAAATTCAAAAACAAAAAAGTAGGCCTAATAATATATAGGGGACCTTAAATTGCAAGATTAGTCGTCATGGAATACGAAAGCTAATACATGTACAAAGAAAGTGCATGTCATACAGGCACGTATACAGGGGGGGGGTTGGGGGGGTTAAACCCCTCCCCCCCTTTGGTATTTTTATGTGTGTAAACCCCCCCCCCCCCCCCCCCCCCCCCCCCCCCCCCCCCCCCCCCTTGGTTTTTTTCTTCTTTTTTTTTTTTTTTTTTTAATTATTAAAAAAAAAAAAAAAAAAAATTATTCCCATGGCTGACCTAAAAAGGTGACCTTACCCCCCTTCCCCCCCAACGGAGCCAAATGTCAAATTTTCAAATTTCGAGACCAAAAAAAAAAAAAATGTGTCCTCTTACCCCCCTGGGTATTTTTTTCCCTAAAATTCGAGAAAAATCTGCCAAAATGGCCCTAAAAATGGGTACAGGTTTTGAGGCTTGAGCGGCCCGTCCAAACCAAATCTGACGAGGTGACACTTCATATCTTACCAGTGGTGGAGAAAGAATATCCTTTCTTGTTGAGTAATCTCATCAAATAATGCGTCATCTCCCTGCCTGCTAACCCGGTTCGATGCGTCGCTGCTTCGAGGCAGTATCCTTCATATATTGCCAATGTCTGCGTCACTCCAGCCCCCGTCTCGATCACGAATCCACTGACGCGACCGCTGGAGTACAATGAGAGCAGTGCTGGATTGGCCACGTAAAATGCAGGTATCTGAAACGTCTCAAACATTATCTATAAAAAAAAGGGATAAGTGAGAAGTTTTCAAGATGATCAATGCGTTATATGCCTGACGTAGTACGACATCAATGAACATTGTGACACCTCGTGCTAGAGTCATATCATTTTAAAAGATACAGGAAAATGAAAAGTGTGAGTATCCCAGACAATTTTATAAGTAATTATTCCTTATGTCACAATGATTCAAGTGAAAAGCTGAGAAAGTTTGGATAAACAATGATACATTTGATGACAGAAAATGAGAAACAAAAGAGAATGAGAGAAAAGTGAAAAGTGGCAAAAGACAGCGAGAAATAATAAGGTTGCATGCATGGATAAAGAGGGAGGGAGAGAGAGAGAGAGGTGAGTAAGATACAGAAAATATATTACGTTTCAAGAGGGAGATAGAAAGAGATAGACAGGTAGATATATAGTGGGAGGGAGAGAGTGTGAAAGAGAGAGAGAGGGAGAGAGAGTAATAGAGAGGGAGAAAACAGAGAGAGAGAAAGAGACAGGCAGAAAGAGACAGAGAGAAAGAGACAGGCAGAAACAGACAGACAGAAAGAGACAGGCAGAAACAGACAGACAGAAAGAGACAGGCAGAAACAGACAGACAGAAAGAGACAGGCAGAAACAGACAGACAGAAACAGACAGGCAGAAACAGACAGACAGAGAGAGACAGGCAGAGAAAGAGAGGGGTAGATTTAGATAGAAATATCCATAGGGAGACAGGAATATAGAATAAAAACAGAGAGACATTCACCTGTGCCATCTTCTGTCTATTATACATAGGGTTCCCTGGTGGCTCTGTCATCAGCACTGGGTGCTCTGTGGTGTCGACCATCAGATCAACGTCGAAAAGATAATGCCAGATCTTCTCCATGTCTTCCCAGTCTTTGACGATACCGTGCTCGATGGGGTAGTTGATACCCAAGACTTCTCGGTGTTTGTAGATTGCTTCTCCGATAAAGGTCTCCCTCTTCCCGTCAACGTGCGACTGCAAAGAGTAATCCACATTTCTTTCTTTTTTTATAAACAGATTTCTTAAAGTCAAAGCAGAAGCGCAGATACATATGCTTGCATGCTTAATAGATAATAATAATAATAATAATTACATTTATAGGGTGCTTTATACAGGTGTTTCTAAGCGCACAAGTGGTACTGTCCAACTTAGTATAATTATTCAACATGTTCAATACCTTAAAAGCAAAAAATAAAATAAAAAATTACTAATACAATACAATACAATTGAGTTGAATGGAATTAACTACTTGTGTGCGCCTCCAGTATACTATATTCCATGTCAAATCACCCAAAAAATCTGAAAATCTTAACCCGACCATTTTTGATTTTGATGAAACTTGGTGTACTTGTTGAGTGTGATCTCACAGCACCAAATCCCAAATTTTAGGTCAATCGGGTGAGGGGTTTGGGAGATACGGCCCACCAAATTTTGAGATTTATTCAAAAATGGGGGTGGCGGGCCTACCTTTGAACCCTTGTATCTCGGGACCTAATGGGTCAATCTTCACAAAATTTATATTGTTGGAAAGGGTATTCAATAAGGATTCCAAATCTGCCGCCATTTTGAAGATTCGTACATGTTGGGGTACTTTGACCTCTTGACCTCAGATTTGACCTTGAAATTGACCTTGTGGATCACGTAACTTTGACAACATTTTTCATGAAATGTAATCTCTGACATGTTCACTAAAACATATAAAAGTTTCAGAGATATAATATTTTTTGTTTTGGAGCAATAAGGATTGAAAGTATCCATGCTCACAGATATTCACAATAAGCCCTATTATAATGTATACAATACATGCAATATGCACAGTACAACATACATCTTCCACATGCTATTTTGTTTTAGTCATATCCATCCTAAATGTCAGCAGTACTTGAATAGATAAAATGACAGATTTTTTTTTTTTTTTTTTTTTTTTTTTTTGGGGGGGGGTATATTATTCTTGAGGGGTAATTTTCCCGGGGGGGGGGGGGGGGGGGGGGTAATTGTCCTAGGGGGAAATTGTCCGGGCGAATTGTCCTTGGGGGGGGGGACAGATTGTCCTAGGAGGTAATTTTCTGGGGGGTAATAATCCTCTGGGAGTGATAGTCCTTGGGGGGTAATTGTTCTCGGGGGGGGGGGGGGGGGGACATTTCCTGAGGGTTAATTTTCCAGGGGGGTAATTATCCTAGAACCGACTCAGAGGCCTAAAGCCATACATCCTGTTAACCCTTTAGGCCTATATGAACTTGTCATTTTATTTCTATTCAAGTACTACTGACATTTAGGATGGATATGCCTAAAACAAAAAAGCATGTGAAGATGTATGTTGTACTGTGCATATTGCATGTATTGTATACATTATAATAGGGTTTATTGTGAATATCTGTGAGCATGGATACTTTCAATCCTTATTGCTCCTAAACAAAAATATTATATCTCTGAAACTTTTATATGTTTTAGTGAACATGTCAGAGATTACATTTCATGAAAATTGTGTCAAAGTTACGTGATCCCAAGGTCAATTTCAAGGTCAAATCTGAGGTCAAGAGGTCAAAGTACCCCAACATGTACGAATCTTCAAAATGGCGGCAGATTGGAATCCTTAGTGAATTCACTTCCAACAATACAAATTTTGTGAAGATTGACCCATTAGGTCCCGAGATACAAGGGTTCAAAGGTAGGCCCGCCACCCCCATTTTTGAAAAAATCTCAAAATTTGGTGGGCCGTATCTCCCAAACCCTCACCCGATTGACCTAAAAATTTGGGATTGGTGTGCTGTGAGATCACACTCAACAAGTACACTAAGTTTCATCAAAATAAAAAATGGTCGGGTTAAAACCATTGGGTGATTTGACATGGAATGACCCTAATGTGGGTTTTGAGAAGGGTTTTGAATGATTCAATGGATGGGGTATTTTGAATATGGGGTGGGAGTTTAATTGTTCCAGAGGGCAGAGGCAATCGTGGGCCGTGAATTAATTTCATGGAGGAAGATAAATGGAGAAAAGAGTCGTATCGAAGGGGGCAAGGGGCGCGTGCCACTTGCAGCAATTGCAGGGGCCCAAAAATTTAATCGAGGGCAAGAGAAAGGGGAAATATTAAAGCCTGTTCGTACTAGTTTAGCCAGGAGGGATTAGACCACCCAGTTTGGTCACTGACAGGTGGCTATCTCTTCCTCTCAGCTCTCAATTAACATAAGAAAAAGAGGATCATGGGAAACCAACGGGCACCGCTTAGGCTTTCTCTTCTATATAGAGGGAGCAAGTAGCTACTGTACAAGTAGTACACTGAGGCTTTAAGGGACTTTCACCCATGAGGATGTAAACTACGTTACCTTTTTACTTCTTCCAATGCATGACGGGAAGGCAGCTCTGCAAGTCTTACCCCCAGCGAATCCCGCCTGTATAGTACCACCCGTTGTCGACCACCACTGGGTCTGGGCCATCGTCCTCATCGTAATCACTCATCTTCGACTTTCCCTTTGTCATGCAAAAACATATTTCATATCAATAGGCTGACAAAAAGGAACATTACATTTTATATCGTTCAACACCTATGAGGTTTTTGATTACGTGTAGGCCAGATTTTATGTTGTCATTTGTCAAATTGTTGTTGTTGAATGATCAGTGGCGTAGCCATGGGGAATTAAGGGAAACATGCCCTTATCAAATAGAGAAAATGGGGGAAAAGAGATAAATTAAATGACAATGAAAGAGGGGGGGAGGAAAAAGGGAATGCAAAAAGGAAACGTTGGCCCTGTTTATGTGTATTTCATCAATCAAACACGGCCAGTGACCCCCCCCCCCCCCTCCTTGCTACAGCAGTGATTTTAAATTCATGAAGAATTGATTGATAATATTTGGGCGTTAATGGCCGAGGTAAGCTGCATCAGTATTGATACTGTTCTTCCTGCATGCCTGCAATTATTATTACCCCTGCAACGGATTGCCAGGTACCCATTTACACCAGGGTGGAGAGTGGCAAATATGGATGATAGTCTTTGCCAAACGACGTATACTGTCTGGCTGGGATTGAACCCTCAATTCTTGGATTGAGAGTCGAGTAAGAGCACAATTTTTTTTTCTTCCTCCAATTGGTCAGGAAAATATTTAGCAGCGAATCAGCCAGCCAGTGAATAAGAAGGGGGAGGGGGAGGGGAGGGGGGGAGGGGGTAAGAGGCACTATTTTTTTTAAATTTTTTTTTTTTGGGGGGGCCAATTTGTGAGATCTTGTATACAAACTCGTTGCTCTCTGGTGGTCCCTCTACTTTTCTGACAATACATGGGGGGGGGGGGTTCATTTGATATGATGTCCCCCCGAGGAAAAATCATGGTCCCCCCCCCCCCCCTGGGATTGACACCCTTGCCAATAGGGCAAATTGTAGATTGGATCTTTAAACAAATAATTTTCATGATTATAGTGAACTCACTTAATTTATATTCTACCTGATCCAAATATCGGCCAACTGCATTTGGAATGATTGCCTTTGGCTCGTCATCGCCGGCATGCCCGTACTGAATAGATCCCGAGCCGCTGTCAAAGACGAGAGCAGGCCAATCGTCATCCTCTTCAACATATGCCATCTATGATGTCATCGTCTTCTGGAAACAATTAAAATTTAAAATAAAGTTGAGTTCTCTTCATGTGATTACATACTGAAAGAAACTGTCCAGAAGCAGTCAAGAAACGGTTGATTATGTACTCATTTTGAATAACTCAATATTTTCTAAAGGTCTTTCAATGGCACAATCTCCCACTGCTCTTAGAATCAGCTCATTCTAGCCCCATTGCACTAGTTTGGCCGGGATAAGACCTCCCTGCTAGGTTACTGCCAGGTAGTTATCTCATCAAATCAGCTCTCAATTACCATAAGAAAGAGGGGATCATGGGGGACCAACAGTCACCGATTATTGATCGCTATATAGAGGGCGCAAGTAGCTACAAGTAGTGCAGTGGAGCTTTAATGGCCGTTATAAATCCAATCTTTTAAGTTTATATTCATCATGTGAAATGTTATATATTATTTCCTTACTTTATTTGTTTGTCTGTTTGCTTATTATAATGATGTATTTATTGTTAATTTGGGGTCAACATGTATACTACATGGCTATTTGATCTTTTTCTTGTTGACCCCTCATTCTCATAATATGTTTTGTCTAGTTGCTCTGTATTGTTTCTATTGGTGATGCTGATCTGTTCATAGTAGGTCCATGCTCTGGTGTAGTGTTGTTTAAATATAATGTATGTTTTTTGTTTTATTGAGAGTGAAAATAAAGACTGCATGAACTGAATGAACAAAGGAATCGATGAATAGAGGAAAGAATAAAAGCATAAAAGCTCATAATATTCCCTGGGATGATTGTTTATAGGGGGTAATTGTCCCGATCTGCTGATCCCTGTACCTGATTGATGCGTACATACAGAAAATTACTTTAGCCTGTAATATAGGCCCGGCCCTGTAATTTTCAAAAACTGATGGGGAGGGGGAGGGGCCTTAAATTTGACTTGTTGTATTCCAATTGCAGTGTTTTCAAATATGATAATTAGAGCGGTGCCAGATCTAAACATAATAGTGTGTATTACTAATATGGAAAGAGTTCCATATGTACCCCCTGCTAATTAAATAATATTACACTTTCTTTTAAAGGTATTACAAAGTTTTGGTACGGGGTCATGAATTTGGTTCAAATTAACATATTGGAAGCATACGCGTTCCTACAATATTCATTGATCGTTGTCCCGGTTGAAATCGATTCTAAAGTTATGAAATTATAAATAATAAACTCTTTATGTTGTTTAGCTCCCTCTCAAGGTCAAGATATCAATTTAGCTATGAAACAATGTTTCTTGACTAAAATCGACCGATTAGCTATTCCCGTTTAGAAATTATATATCACAACTACATATTCTGAGATTTTCATGGTCGCAGCTACCATTGTACGTAGGCGCTATTTGAAATTTATCAAAATTTACCGGGAGCACCCGTAAATTTTTATATTCAATTTTTCTCGAAAACAGAAGTGTTTTAGGGGTTAATTTTTTATTGCTTATAATACATCCACAGGGGCATCCAAATATATCAAAATTGTAAAGATTCACTATCCACCCAATTTTCAAAATTTCCCAAACTTTGTATTACCTTTAATCTCTCATTGTCTAACCCTATAAGTAATAACCCTAACTCTAGTTTCCATGTTTTATAATAGAGGGTGTATATTAGAATCTACTGTAGACTCTAACTATAAAGTACTAGACTCTACTGTACTACTATCACTCTGAAACATATCAAGATTTTTTTTCTTCATATTTAGTGGGGGGGGGGGTATAGAACTCTAGCCAAGGGGTATATACAAATATCAAATCTGCAGGCGAATACGAACGTCCTGCACTTTATATCATATGAAATATAGGATAAATTGAACATATGATAAACTAACTCTAGAGAGCACCGGCCGCCGCCGCCGCCGAAGACGTCGGCGCGGCGGAGCTCCCTGAACCGGCCTGTGGACTGCATGGAGTTAATAGTACCGGGAACTTATACCTGCAGGGAGTAGGGAGTAACATACATACCTGGCAAATTCTTGTCTTCCCTAGAATTGTCTGCATCTTCAGATTCGTCCCATGAAATAATGTGCATGTATTAAAGCCTCAGCCTACTACTCATCTCATCTCATTGATTGGTGATCACACCTTTACACAACAGCTAGTAACCCATAGACGTCTTTATGGTATACCAAACAAGAAAGTAATTAGGGTCGAGGATTGAACGTTACTATATACTAGTAGTTTGCAGGCACAGACTATTGTTAGTTGTAATTGTGCGTAACGTCCAGTGTCTGTCGATGACACAGTCGTTGCTGTTATTTATGTTTTTTTCACAACTAGTAAGGATTTATTATTTTTGCTAGAGGCTTAAATAGCTTACAGTCTGACAGAGCTAGGGAATTGTGGTAAAGTGTCCAATTAAAGTCTGTGCCAGGCAGACTAATACTAAACTGCGCGAGCGGCGCTCCGGTGGGGGTTGGTCGGAGGTGGGGGCACCGTTCCCCCAACACACCCTTTTTTCCAAGTCCCTTTTTACGTAGGAAAAGTATCCCCTTTATACTTCAGATAAAAGCCCTTTTTCTCTCTAGTAAATGCCTCCCCCTTCTCATTAGTATGGCTTTCCGTTAAGTAACCTGATAGGTGCCCTTTTTGCTTTGACAAAGACCCCCTTTCCTTTTTCATAAATTATATGTTTTCCTTCTTACAAGTGCCCCGTTTTACCAATGATAAATGCCCATTTAACTTTCACATGCTGTGCCAATTTTATTCATAAGTGCCCTTTTACCTTCTGATGAGTGCCCCCTTTTTCTTTTGTTATAAGTGTCCCTTCCCCTTTTGCATTTCTCCGATAAAAGTGGTCTTTTAGTTTGTTTTTTCTACAATTTACTAAAATATTTGTGTGTAGTGTTTTGTTTCTTTATGTGTTCTTATGTTTGTATGTCATATGATGATGATCGTAAATAAAACCAACCAACCTAATGACAGACATTTAAAGTTCCCATTTACCATACAGGCATAAGTCGATCCTGGGGGGGGGGGGGGGTGCGGCTGTAGCCCCTAATTGGATTTTCTCCCCAACTTTTTGGGGTTATAAACACAAGCACCCCCTCCTCCTCATTGGGCTTAGGATGTGGAGCATGGGGCTTTGGAGGGGCGGCAAGGTTACTGGAAAAAAATAATGATTGTAAAATTCTACTGCCCCTACCTCCCCCCCCCCCCCCCCCCTTCCAGACGATCCTGCTGGATTAAGTTTTTTGCAATGTCTTTTTAAAAAAAGCTAAGTTCTGAGAACATCGAACAGCAGGTCAACATTTTTCAGGTGAAACAACAAAGCAACAATGGTGTTGACAAGTAAAGATACATTTGAAAAAAAGGATATATTTACATAATAATCATTTAATATTCATTTAAGTCTAACTATAGCACTACATTAAGGATATTATAAGCAGCATAATCATATATTCTGTTACTCTCTTACAGTACAGGAGCGCAGATCCACATATGAGGGAGTCATAGTCAGTATAATATACTTCATTTGGAGTGGAATCCACTCTCTACAGAGCTTAGCCTACAACAGATTTGGAGTGAACCCACTCTCCACAGAGTGATTACAACAAATTTGGAGTGAAATCCACTCCCAACAGAGCAATTACAACAGATTTGGAGTGAACCCACTCTCAACATAGCAAGATTTGGAGTGAAATTCACTCTCAAAAGAGTGATTACAACAGATTTGGAGTGAAATCCACTCTCAAAAGAGTGATTACAACAGATTTGGAGTGAAATCCACTCTCAAAAGAGTGATTACAACAAATTTGAATAAAATCCAATGGAATTGATCCCTAACATGACTCCGAAACATGGAATAGACTTCTCTAGGCCATTTTCATAATACATGTATGATGTATAACCAAATTGAATGCATACCTCTTTGTGCAGTGCCTCGATATGAATTTTTTTCATCTGTTGCAAATAATTGTATTTCAACATTCAGAATGCAAATCACATCTGGTATGTGTTGATAGGTAAGCCATAATGTTTGTACTACCTAGGAATTACTACGGTATACAATTCCCACTCCTACATTTGACCAGGTGAATGACACGATATGTATTGAGGCACTTCACAAAGATATATGCATCAACTTTAAGTTGGGTTTTATTACGAAAATGCCTTATTCCACTCAGATCCTCTGGATTTAGAGAGTAATGAAGAAATCACCATAACAATTAAGAGCAAGGTCATAAATACTGCATAATTCAGCATTCATTACATTTTTTTTCTTCAAATGGCACTCCTGGAAGACAATGCCAAAACATTCATTTAATATAATACATGTATATTTAAATTGAAATAATAAAAAATAAACCCTTTAGCAACCTTCCACATGAAATCAACCATAATTGTGTCCGTTTGGGAGCGAGAAGGGAGTCTACTCATATAATTTAGTCGAGACTTAATGCCCTTCTGGCTCTGAACAGATGATTTGCTAGGTATTGAACATGAATGAGTTGTGGGACAAGTGCAGTAGTATTATATATATATATATACGGTACCCGATTTTCTGTGATGTGTTTAAACAACATGTACATACCAGAGGCATTGGCATTTTATCTGTTCTTTATCCTTTTTTTTCTTTTGTTCTTTAAAAAAAAAAAAAGGTAGGCCCATAGGTTAACGAAACAAAAATGATCCAAATTTGCACCCCTATGAGTACTCCATTTTTGATTGAGCACACCATCTAGATGTACCAGTTTAAGATGCAAATAGGAATTTTTAGTTCCGAATGCGAGGGCATTACATAATATAATTCATAGCTTATTTGGAATTGCGACGCATGCCCAAGTGTGCGCTCAGAGGTCAATTTGTGGAGCTCCAAACACTTCCCTTCTGCAATCTCTACAGTCTTGAAGTTCCATGAGTTTGATGACCTATGAACAAGCGCAACTTCTGATTATGAAACTTATCTCTCTCAACAAGCTACAATATGATTACCCATGCATTGGCCAAACAATAAAGAATTTCTCCTGACCACCTATGATATTCCGTATTCGGCAGTTGCGTAATAAACACAAAAAATTGAGGGGGGGGGGGGCAAAAAGAAGTATAATTTACAAAAAAGGGAGAAAAAAAAAGTGGAAAATCATGTCATTTAAGCACATTTGTAAATCAATGGTATCGAATCAGAAATAAACCACCTTTTATTTATTTATTTTTTTTTTTTTTTGGGGGGGGGGGAGGGGGCATGGCAACTGCCCCCCCCCCCCCCCACACATCAGTACGCCAGCGTTATTCGGAAAATCAGATGAAGTATATGGATATGGTCGATATTTGACATTTCAGTACAAAGCATACAAAACTTGATTAATGATCAATGCACAATTTTCACCATACAGTAACTGAACGAGTATAGAACTTTCAATATGATGACCATTTTATATGTGTGGATGGATAAAAGGTCATAAATACAAGATTTTGTATTTTGTATCAGGATAAAACACTATTACTTTCATATGATAATATTTAACATTTGCAGGACACCAAATACACTTGAAATCTAATGCTCAAGGTGCATGAGCGGAAGAGATAATATCAAATAAAAGCACTTGCAAAAAAAGTACAACATGAACAGGACACAATGTTTTCATTTCTTGATTTATATGTACATATTGAGAATATCATTTAATTTTAAACTGCATTGAACAGATGGAAGGCTATGAGATGAAGAAACAAGCAAAATTTAGATGAACAGAATTACTTGAAATACAGATACATGTCACAGATTTGAGATATAGACTATAAGCATACAGTGTTGGGCCGAATCATTTTTGGGGGGTGGCTATGTACACGGCTTAGTTATCGTTTTAGGCTTAATATTCAGTCACAATTCAAGGTTAGCTAGTATTTTTGTTCTAATTTACTTCCATGGTTTAGACATGTAACAGCGACAGGTTTGACTTTCTATTGTGCAGGTTTGAAAATCAGCTACATATTTGATTTTTAATTGTAGGTTGTACATGTACAGGTTTTAAAATCCATGTAAATAGGTTATCGTTGTATCTCAACCAAAATTATCTATGAAATATCAGTAATAAATTAGTTTGAAATATGACTCAGATTGCACTTAGTACCTTAGAGCCCCGAAAGATACCATAGATGAAGGCCAGATGGGACTTTCCTCAGAAGCAGGTTTTGTACAACTGACTTCACTGTTCAAATTAATCCATAATTGTATTATTTTAGATGTATACATATATTGGCAATATTCTTCCTTTATTTATAGGTACAATACTATAATGTACCTCATTTAAGTAAACATTAAAGTGTTGCTTCAAAATTTGCTTTAACTACATTTAAAAAAAATATTTTCAAAAGTTTCAGGCAAAAATTTAATATACAGTGTATGTGTTGTGTGAAAATTTGCCTTCAAAATTTGTAAAAATAAAACTATTTAGACTGCAGTTTCATGTTGAATTTCATTCATGCGAATAAATCAAATGATCCCATGTATGAATGGAACAGAATGCTTATTCTTAATATAAAGATATATCAATAAATATATTGAGAGAAATCATGTACAAATAAAAGTAAGATACTACATAGATGTAAGTTGTACCAAACTACCCTGGTATCAAAGGAGAAGCCCAACCTGATAGTTATAAGGTTTTAATAGAAGTAGAAAAAGGAGAGGAACACGTCAGCGAAAGTTCGAGCAAAATCCGATTACAAATAATGATGTTATGAATTTTTGAAGTCGCCATCAATCGAACATAGACTGGTAACTCTTGCGAGGTATCCTCCCAATATTCTGATTTTGTCTATTTTCCCCAAAGAAAATTTTTAATCATACATGCACCCTAGATATAATGATCGCAAATATGTTTTTATACAATTCCTTCATGAAACTATTCCATCAATAACTAAGAAAAAATAAGTTTATACATGTATGTCCAATCACAAATACGTTAATATACATGAACAACAGTAGAATTAATGCTCCAAAATATATTTCAATACCATAAACATGTTATTTTTTAATGAGAATCACATTAACATGTACACATCAGGAAATAGCCCTTACTTGCATTTTTATTAATCATGGCAATTTGCCATCTGGAACTTCCCTTATACACAAGTACATCCAGGAAGGTGACTTTCATGGTACATGAAGAGAGAGCATGTAAAGCATGATGAAGTACCTTGGACCATAGCTAGTTGGGAGAGATAGTTATGTCCCAGAAAGTAACTTCTGATTGGTCTGTTGTATCATGGAGGTCAAAACGATTCCCTCTCATAGACATTGTATGTGGGAGGGAAACAATCGGAGCTCCACTATTAGACCTCTGATCACACTCATGTATACATGTATGCGGGTGTCACAACTATCTCCATCAATTGGCTATGCCTTTGACTTTCCAACTAACAGGCGAGATGAGGAAACACATTATAACACCATATCACCGAGCACGTCATCCCCTACTGCTGGGAAGAATCCATTGACCTACTAAATAATGCCATGTCCATTGGAATTGCCGTCTGGGACCTGTTTCACAAAACTTGTCATCAGTAACAAATGACAGTTGTTGTTATAAGCTACTGAAATCCTTGTTTCTGATTGGTTATCAGCAGATTTGCCACTGATTTTTGTCATTTGTCATTGAAAAAAGGCTTTGTGAAACCCCCTCCTGATGAACAGTTTATATAATCACTGTGTGACACACATCACAGATTCACCAGCTTCTTCAAGAGTCTTTAAATCCTTCTGAGGGATTCATCCAGTGGTCCTTCTGCTTCATATTAGACTGCAGTAACCACTGCACGCACCTTCGTTAGGTTGTCCTTGATTACTACCGACACCAAACCCTCTTTGTCTCGTGTCGTTCTCCCAAAGTCCTGGCGTCTGAATGATCTGTGACACAAGGACACATTGTAATAGATTGTTATTACCAAAAGTATCAAGCAAGTACTGCATGCCAATAGGCCATTTTCGTAATGTAACCAAATTTAATGCATAAGTCTTTGTGAAGTGCCTCAATACAAATTATTTCATTCACCTGATAAGAATAATAGTATTTCAATAGTCAGAATGCAGACTGCATATATTAAGTGTTGCTAGGTAGGTCAAGCCATAATGTTTGTCCAACCTGGCAACAACTAATGTATGCATTTCAGATTCTGTCTATTGAAATACTATTATTCTTATCAGGTGAATGAAATAATATGTGATGAGGCACTTCACAAAGACTTATGCATTAAATTTGGTTACATTACGAAAATGGCCTATTGAGTACATAGAGATAACAACTAACGTACAAACTGAATTGAAAACAATAGACCATTTTACTAACATATCCAAATGTTGTGCATATCTTTTAAACTAAGGGTTGTTCTTGAAAACCTGAAAGCTTGTCCTTGACAATGGAACCTGAAAGCTTACCTGAGGTTTGCTCGACATAGAATTCTTGGCAAATGAAAATTTGCGGTTTTACTGTACAAGATACTAACCTTCTCGACCAACTCTTCAAAAGCACACTGTACTCCATCTCTAGTTTTGGCGCTGCATTCGATGAAGAGACAAGAATGTTTTCTGGCAAATTTGAGACCTTGTTCTCGGGATACTTCTCTTTTCTCCTACACAACAACAACAACAGTAAGCATATTTACAAAGTGCATAATATACAGAAAAGATGAGTTTGGGTCATGTGTACATGTACACACATATTTTAAACATGTACTGATTCTTCTCCGTGTATTTTACAAAAAAATACTGATGTAGTGTATGAGATGCTTCATGAAAACCTGTTGTTTACCCTTGATAAGAATAATTCTAGCTTTATATTTATGTACTGTCTGTGCACACATGTATGTAATAATGCTGAGCCCCCCCCCCCCCCCCCCCCCCACCCCTAAAAAGGACATAATCACTGTGTGCATAACAGATCAAAAAGTATGAGGGGGTTCCATATCTTATGTAAACAGGGCTTAACACTGAGTTCACAGTTCTCAATCTCACCTTGTCTATCTTGTTTCCGACCAGCATCTTGATGATGTCTGCCTTAGTGGAGTAAGTATCCAGCTCATTCAACCACTGACCTAGCCGGTCAAAGGTAACTTGACTGCTCACATCATACACTGCAAGCAAAATGAACAGTACGTCAGTTAATGATGGGGAGCTCTACGATTTAATATATGACCATGATTGGGTACATGTGCCACAACTATCTTTATCAATAGGCCATGGCTGCTTTGATCTATTGTACAATGACCTGTTTGGAAAACTTAAACAAATTATGAGGCCTTTCTTGAACTATACTGCTATGGTAGACAAATGGAATGAGCAGTGGAACAGGCACATGGTAGATAACACTCTAAAACAATGTAGCAGTGTAGGATTTCAATATGCCGCAAATAAATAACGATAATAATAATACATGTAGGTCCATTTATGTAGCGCAGCTAACCAGCTACTATATGATTATACTCTACTGAGCTTAAAGATAAACTTGAATACTGGTAATGCGATTGCATTGTGAAAGAAAAGGTGTGGAATGGATCAGAAAAGTTGATCATATAGCATGTAAGTAATGGTGTGTAATGCAAGGTTCTAGAGTCATCAAAATCATCATAAATTTGGCAGAGTCTTGGTAAAGTAACAATCACTTACACAGATAGATGTATATGGGACAACACACATGGTGTCGGGGCTAGTACTACCCTGATTTCCTTATCTTTCTATGCTCATTACTCAGCCAGTATACATTTTCTTCCAAAATTGTTTGGCACATGACATTTATTTGTAATCTTGAAAATTCAGTGTAAGTTTCGTTAGATTCTGTGAGAATTCATTTTCTTTTTTTTTACCAGAACTCAAGTTTATCTTTAATGTAAAGTATCATATCATTACCCCGGCTGTAGCTGAGCCGCCAAGCAGAGGCAGATACCAGAGTTTCACAAGAAGCCATCATTGTCATCATCAATCATCATCATCATTATCATTGTTACCATCATTAACACCGTCATCATCCTGATCGTCATGACCATCATCCTCATCATTACCATCATCATCATCACCATCATCATCACCATTACCATCATCATCACCATCATCATTACCATCATCATCATCATCATCATCATCACCATCATCATCACCATCATCATCATCATCATCATCATCACCATCACCATCATCATTACCATCATCATCATCATCATCATCATCATCATCACCATCATCATCACCATCATCATCATCATCATCATCACCATTATCATCACCATCATCATCATCATCATCATTACCATCACCATCATCATCATTACCATCACCATCATCACTATCACCATCACCATCATCATCATCATCATCTTTACCATCATTACCATCAACACCACCACCCCACCATCATCATCATCATCATCATCACGTCATCAATCAGGAGAGAAGGTAATTGACTGACCTAGAATGACCCCTTGAGCTCCCCTGTAGTAGCTAGGGGTTAACGTTCGGAATCTCTCTTGCCCTGCTGTGTCCTGTAAGTAGGAGATAAACGGCGTTAATAAATACACATACATGTACCTCAGCAAACATGAACAATAACGGAGAAGTTCACCCTGATATTAAGTCGAGTTTTGATAGGAGCAGAAAATGAGAGGAACAAGTCAGTGAAAATTTGAGCAAATTACGATCAAAATTAGAATTTTTTGAACATGTAATTAGTCAGACACAAATCGGCACCTCTGTGACATTTCTTGAGAGCTCCCCTCCCATTTGCTCTGTTTTTAAATTTCATAAAGTTTCATTTTTCTTTTTTATTGATGACGGCATAGATTTTCCAACATACATGGGCTGTTGGAAACATATTTGCAATAATTATAAGTGTATGATTGAAAGTTTCTTTAGAAAAATAAAAATTACAGAGCAGATAATGCCAGATATGTCACAGAATTACCAATTTATGTTTGATTGGTTTCAACTTTCCTATTTTTAATCAGAATTGTATGCTCAAACTTTCACTGTTTTTCTCATTTTTCTGCTTCTATTAAAAACTTCCCCTTAAAGAATGTGCAATGAAATTATAACAATTTGCATCTACATTTAAAGATATAACAATTCAGATGTTGTGTGTCCTGACAGTTGTGTTTCCGGGCATTTGATTTCAACCAGCGATTTAAAGGCGTTACTAAGCAACATTTCATTAATCTTCTAAGACTTATGTTGGACAATATTATACAGGACAAATAATCATGATGGTTATTGCTATTTGATGAATATTTTCCATTAAATCTGAAGGCAAAAGAGAAGTCATTATGTTTGTTAAAGTGTCTGGACTCCAAACTCCCCATCATACACGTATAATAGACTGTTCTTAACTTCTTACTCTGCAGTTTGCACTCACCCATATTGCAAGTTTAGCTTTGTTGCCATCTACGCTAAGAGTTTTCACTTTGAAGTCCACTCCTAATCAAATGAAATCAGTACAGAAAGGAAAAAGTGTAAGTTAAATATTGTCCATGTATGCAAAGCAGTATGATCGATAAATGTAGATATGATTTATGAAAATTGGATGTTTCTGCCTGTCTGCCCTACATGAACTTACATTTGTTAAACAGTGTTGTACCTGTATGACAAAAATATTCACCATCTTTCACCACGACCAAGGACTGTATAAAGTTGAGTAATTATGCATACACATGCAAACTCTCTAACCCTTTTAGTTTGGTTCCGGATGGGACATTGGGAAGTATCAAGAATAAGAAGACAAAAAAGAAGAAGAAGAAGATAAGACGAAAGAAGTAGTAGATGAAGAAGTAGGAGCAGCAGGAGGAGGAGGAGGAGGATAGATCAAGGAAGAGAAGAAGAAGAAAAATAAGAAGAACAAGAAGAGGAGGAAGAAGAAGAACAGGTAGAAGATGAAGAAGAAGAAGAGGAAAAAGAAATATCCAGAAGAAGGAGGAGCAGGAGGAAGCACGAAGCAAATATATCGTTTATCCATGTACAATGAGTTTACGAGCACCCATTGGGTGATCAATCTAGCAAAAAAAATCCCAAGTAACGCCCCCGGGCGCTGATCCAATCAGAAAATTGATGCGTAAATCAGCTTGACCTTAGTTTGACTTGGGCGGCTACTTTGCTCTTCCGTTCGGGCGTCCGATCGACTCCTCAGTTTTCCGAACGATTCCTCGGTTAGGTTTTTCGGGTTTCGGATAATACCGGCAAGTTTAATGACCGTGGGAAAGCGAGCCAAGTTATGCGCATTGCGGCATGATTTGAGTTCATGGAAAGTTCAACTGCGCGTGCCTCGCCAGCTCAAGGAATGCAGTCTAGTCATTGGTGTTATAATTAGCATTGGCGAAATGAAAATCATAATCTAATGGAGGAGATTAATTATGTGCAATATTAATTGTCATGATGATTGGCACAGCAGGTTCTTCCATTCATTCATATTTTGATGTTGCATGTACTTTTATCCTTCCTCTCACTCTCTCATCCCTTTTCTCTATCTGAACTTGCTACTTTCAGATTTTCCTTTTCTTCTTCAGTTCTGGTCTTTCCTCTCTATTTCTATTTCACTCCCACCCCCCGTCTCTCTGTCTGTATCTCTCTCTCTCTCTCTCTCTCTCTCTCTTTGCTCTCTCTGCCTCTTCCTCTTTCTCCCTTCGTCTCTCCTTCATCCCCTCTGTTTCTCTCTCACACTTTCTGTCCCTCCTCCTCCTCTCCACCTCTTTTCTCTTATGATGATGTTTTACAGTACAACATTCTATAATTATATGTTATTTTTATCATATTTTGTGGGTTGCACAGGAGCAGGGTCCACGTCCCGCAACCTGGGTGTCATGATTTCTTGAAGCCATGATAGCTGATGCTCCTACATGTATGTAAATACATACATGTATTAATACATTTAAATATCAATTTACCAATTAAAATGGAAAACAAGTTCATAAACATTAGACACGATTGTCGTAATGAGCTGTGCTGCTCATAATTAGGAAATGTATTAGTTGTACAAAGCAAAAGAGATGACTCAATGAGTGCGGACAGGCGCGGATCCAGGGCGAACGGACTTTGCCGCCCCCCCCCCCCCCTCCCGCAAAAAGAGAGAGAGAGAGAGAGAGAGAAAGAAAGGAAAGAGGAGAGAAAGGGAAAGAAAGAAGAGGAAGAAGAAAAGAAAAAGGGGAAAGGAGATCGGGCGGCAAAAGGGCCTTGCCTCCCAGCTGTTACCTCCCCCTCCCCCCCCCCCCCCCATCACAAAATAAGAGAGAAGGAAGGAAAGGGAAAGGAAAAAGAGGAGGGAAAGGAAAAAGAGGAGATAAAGGGAAAGAAAAAAAGAGAAAGAAGATAGTTAAGGTGTAGATTGGGGGGGGGGGGGGTTGGGCTTGGGGAAGGGGGTGACAGATGCCCCCAAAATATAATTCAAACGTGGTTTATTTCTAATTCGATACCGGTGATTTACAAATATTACTAAAATGACATGATTTTCCTAGATTTTTTTATGAGTGTTGGGAAATGGCAAATTCCTAAATAAGGAAAAAAGAATAGTGACCTGCCTTTGTCACAAAATAATGAGGAGTCAAAATGTGCTCATCTGACCGTAATTAAAAGCCTATATTCCCTGAGCTTCTGTGTGCTCCTCCCCTTGACCCCCGCCGGGGCTTCGACCCTAGACCCCACGCTAATTTACGTTACGTTGATCGTTTCTACCCCCCCCCCCCCTCAAAAAAAAAAAAAAAAAAAAACACCAACAACAACATCAACAATAACACGTTTTTGCTCATTTCGCCACTGCTGGGTCACCATTACGTACCAATATTTGGCTTGCATAATTTCAAATCCCCCCCCCCCTAAGAAATTCTGGATCCGCGCCTGAGTGTGGAGGTATATGTATGTATTGATTGATTGAGTTTTATTCGACAAGCTTCGAACATACAACATTATACAATAATAACAAATCAACAAGTCAGCTTGAACAGGATAACCCACGAGAGCTTATTTCCAGTGGGGTCCCTTACAGACATATATAAAATTAATAAGTAAAAATAGTCATATTTACAGACAGATAAGAAAAATAAAAGAATTACCTTTTAAAGATAATAATAATAACATTAAACTGATGATAGAAATGATAATAAGTACAAGAAGAAAAGGAAGAAGGAGAAGAAGAAAAAGAGGAGGAGGAAGAAGAAGAAAATAATGATGAATTAGTAGAATTTCTATAACGTACGAAAACATAAATATAATATATATACAAAATGAAAAAGTATGAACCGGCAGAAGAATACAAATTTCAATCACATAAACTATTAGTATTAGGTTTTCCTTTAATTTCCTCTTAAAATGAGCATAGTTTTTTTTTTTTGAGCTTTGAAAATTGACATCCAACACAAGGCCCCCCCCCCCCCCCCCCCCCCCCCCCCCCCCGCTCTCTCTCTTTCTCTCTCCTTCTCTCTTTCTCTCTAATTATTTATCTCAATGTCATACCCCCTTTCCATCACATCTCACTCTGATCTAATATGAAATTGGACTGAACAGGAAAAGAATGACCGCATCAAAGATGTATGCACTTACATAAGTTATACATTTAATGATACCCTCCGACATCTCTGAATAACATATTTGAATACATAGAGTAGAATAGAATAGAAATGGTTCTTATTAGAAAGATCATCGCAGCCAATGGCTGAATTGCGATCCATTTCACAAACATACAATTGCAATTTAAATTGAAATAACACAAAATATGACATAAATCAAAAATCAAACATAGACCCCCGATAGGCATTTAAAAAGTCATTGATCAAATTCAAATTTTTGTTAAATAAAAGACAGAGAAAGAGAGAGGTGTAGAGGAGGGAGAGTTGGAGTGATGATAAAGAGAGAGAAAGAGAGGAAGAGAGGAAGAGAGAAAAAGAGAGAGAGAGAGAAGGGGGGACGAAAGAGTGAGACGGAAAGAGAGAGAGATATATATATACATTTATGAATATAATAAGCGATGACTGAAAGCATAACATTGATAATAATATGATACTACACATACAAAAAAGAAATATTAAAAAAATAATTACCAAAAAAAAAAAGCTGCCCCCAACCCCACTAATTTTTTTTTACCCCCCCCCCCCCAAAAAAAAAAAAAATGCAACATTGTTACTGAAAATAATTTGGGAAACTCAATTATATAATACTGTCAAACGATCAAAATCCTCTCAAGATTTAACCATTTTTACCAAATTTGTCAGTTTTGTTAGGAAGTATACTAACCTGCCTCTCATTTATGAAACTATTACTGATATGTTATTTTATTGTCATATTACAACTTTCCATTTCGGACTTGTATTTGCATTTAATTATTTGACAGAGTGCTTTAATTATTTGACAGAGTGCTTTAATTATTTGACAAAGTGCTTATTATTTGACAAAGAAATTAATGTAGGAATGGAGACCACCAAATCTCGGTTGAGCACCCTTCGGAGCTTAGTTAGTTCCTGGTGTGTTTTTACAAAACGCCGAAATCATATTGCCGTTTCCCCCAGGCCAGGCAATTTCCCCCAGGCCAGGCAGTTTCCCCCAAGCCAGGCCGCGCAAACGCGTAACCATGGAAATACTACGAACGCTGACCACAACCAGTTCAAAGTACAACATATACGCAGTCACAATCAGACGTAAACACGGCGAACGATTTCATACGACACTCAGCTGTATGGTTCGGAATTATTACCGAACAAAGGAAGCAAACTTCGGCTCTGACGCCCTAGCTGTCAATCATACAAAAATGGATACCAAAAACACTGAAATTTCAGGCTTTAAACAGGCGACGCACTTTACACATAGGTGACGCACACATGGCGTTCCATACACATGCAAACGAAACGTGAACGGACATTTCAGGAAAAGAATCAAGTTTGTACCTTAAATATGACTTTTTTGATAATTTTTCTTAGTTAAGTAAGACTTATACTTAAGTGAAATACTTAAGTGAAATACTTAAGTGAAAAAATCATTAAAAATAGAGGGTTTGACTGAAATATCACAATTTTGGTATTGAAAAAAACGGAAAATAGTATGCTCTCTCGTCGCACTCAAATTTGTAACGTTAAGCGAATGGCGGGTCTTTTACATCCAATCAGAAGGAACAAGAACGTTGATTCGTGGGCGGGGCGCGGGCGGGTAATTCAAATGAGGCGGAGACCGATTAAACGTAACTGCGCAAGCGCTTAATGTAAGGAATATTGCTTCGTGGGAAGAGCAGAAGGAAGAGGGTGAGGGGAGGAGTAGAAGAAGAAATAAATCCAGGAGAAGAAGGAGTAGAACTAGAAGAAGTCCTGAGTAACAGGAGGAAGAGTAAGAGGAGGAGGAGGAGGGGGAGGAGGAGGAGGAGGAGGAGGAGGAGGAGGAGGAGGAGGAGAAGAAGAACAAGATAAGAACAAGAAAAGTAGGAGAGACAGGAGAAGCTCTACAATAAAATGGTCAAAGTAAAAATCATGCGTCCAAACTGCTAAAGCATAGTTTCAAATTTTAGCAAGCGATGTACAGTGTATCATCAATCTGGGTAAAAATCAAGATGAAAAAAAACCCACAATAAATTGAAGAATAAATTCCTCACCTATAGTAGCCGCTTGCTCAGGATCAAATGTGTCGTCTGTGAATCGCAGAAGTAAACTGAAATTAACAAAAATATAACAATTTATTTTAATGCATGTAACAACATACATGTACATATTCATGTACACTAAGAGCATAGGTCACATCACGTGATCAACAATCTGACATCATTGACATGACATTCGTGCGGCAAACTTAAATGTTGTGCTTAAATCAAAATAACAGATACAAAAATCACTCTTAAAAATCACCCGATTGAATAGGCCCAACTGTTAGATCTACCATGCCTACGCCCGTGATATTTGGCTGTTTTTTTTTAAAACCATTGATTTATTAACAACATGCTATAACTACTTTTGAAAATTGGAGTGGACTTGGCCTTTAAGTTAAGAGTCTCTAGATCTAGACAACTTACAAGTAACACATCAGTATATCACACTGAGCTGAGCTGAGTCAGTAATATTTACAGTATAGACCTCATTGACCTACGTGCTACAGTCTGTACACAAATCACAATTGCGACGACACTGATTGAAAATGTCATGGATTTTTGAAAATCCTAACTCACCTCGATTTCCCCACTCCACTTTCTCCTATAATAAGAATTTTCAGGGTGGTTAGAACATCGTCTTCGTCCATGGCAGTCTTGGATTGAGGAGTAAATTATCTACAACTCAGATATTAGGAAAAAAGGGGCCGCAGATAATTTCGTAGAGCAGAATTCGCCTGTGATCAAGGGCTATTACGCAATGACAATGGACGTGTCCGTTATAAACTATGGAAGGCCAACCCCGCCATAAACTTAACTAGTAACGTAACCAATAAGGAAACACTAACGTACACTTAGTATCCAATGATTTTACAGAGTAGTGCTTGCGCTACTAAACAGTTACGTTAGTCAAATGATGAAAAGCTTACGTATACTCATTCTAGGGATTATTTTACCTACGTAAGCTCTTTAGTTTTCATTAACGCAACTGTCTAAGTAATTCAGTAGCGTAAGTAAAACACACTATCGTTAGTTTAATGTTGACCAATCATACCCATCGTTGCATGCCATAGAATCACACACCGATCTTTATTTCTTTAGCTAGAGCCAGAGCTAGCTAGAGATCGGTGATACCATGGTGATTCAGTCGTGATCGCAGACATAGGCTTAGGAACCGGGGAGGGGGCTTGCGGGGGCACAGCCCCCAATAAAAAATCTTGGGGGGGGGGGCTCAGATATCATTGAACCCGCCCTATATTTTTGGCGGGGCTTATAGATACCATTGAGCCCCCAATTTTGTGGTGGGCTTAGATATCATTGAGTCCTTAGGGGCGCAGATACCATTGAGCCCCAAATATTTCATGTGGGGCTCAGATATCATTAAGCCGCACCCAATACTTATTGCAGGGCTCGGATATCATTAACCCCCACCTCCCCTATCATTATATTCTAGGCATGAAACTCATGTATACCTATAATCTACAGACTTACCATTCAAATATAAACATTTTATAATATTTATTTGGGGAGAGGGGGCTCAGACATCGGATCTCGCATATCATCGACCCCCAAAAAATATATTTGGTGGATCTCGGATATAATTGAGACCCCCAAATATTTTCTTGGCGGGACTCTGATATCATTGAGCACCCCCTCCCAATATTTTGGTGGGGCTAAGATATCTTTGAGCCCCCCCCCCATATTTTGGATGGACTCAGATATCATCAGCCCCCCCCCCCAATTATTGTTGGTGGGGCTCGGATAATATCACGGAGCCCCCCGATATTTTTGTGGGGCTCGGATAACATCACGGAGCCCCCTGATATTTTTGAGGGGCTCGAATATCATCGAGCCCCCCCCCCCCCCAATATTTTGTTCGGGCTCGGATAGGCTATCATTGATCCCGCCCTCCCCAAATATATTTGCACACTTATGTTCTGGGCTAGAAGCTTTATGCGTTTCTATAATCTACAGATCGACTTAGTATTCAAATTATTATTAAAACTGACAGTTTATAAATATTTGGAGATTGATTGAGGGGGGCTTATAGCCTTGCATTGCATTCGAGTAAGATCATCACAGGCACATCTTCATCTCCCTGGACTTCATCAAGTAAGTTCTTTTTAAATAATTCATTGCCCTTTTTTAATCAGATCTGATGTAGGCGTAATGATATCGTATGATTTGTTCTTTATAGTGGTCAGAATGAAAAAAATATCATCCCATTGACCGCGATTCATTCATTGGATGTGGGTTATGACTGTCTAACGTTACTATTGCCAAAAAAAACTTTGTTTCCAGGAACACAAGAAGAGAAAACTTCTTTGGCACATTTGTCTGAGGCTGCATGTGAAAGTAGCTCCTCAAAAAAAGAAAAAGAGGAAAAGTCTGAAATTTTTCGCCGCGATGACATAGACGAGGAACAAACAATTTATTTCCAGGTGCAAATTAAAGACGAAGGAGGATCTCAGAATTTTATTTTTTGGGCGGTGCCACATTTCAGTTTTTTAAATATGTCCGATTATAGGTATGTGTGACAATAAAAGTTTTGTTTTTCACGTTCCTAGCGTATTTTTTTTCCAAAGGTGTTAAATGTGTGTTATTTTAACACCTAGTACTTTGTTTAACTTAATATAAAAAATCTGAATATCTTACAATTCAACGATTTCTTCAAGTAGGCCTACTTTTATTAATTTCTTCAACTGCTTAAAAGAAAGGCTACAAATGCTTTTTTGTAGAGCTGTTGTGTGAACAGTCTACTTAGTAATTCACATTTATAGACTGATGCACATCATTATGCTTGATCATCCTCTCTTATCTGTCATTCTTTATTTGCTACCTATGATATTTGAATATTCATATGCAAAATAAACCCGTGAGGTTTATAGTACTGTTGTAAAGCCCACGGCAGTTCAACACAGGCAATCATGGAGTAAGGGTGCCTTTATCGAAGTGTCTTTGTAACTTTAGAACCACGCAGGCGCGTAGCCAGGGGGGCGGTGGCCCCCCCCCCCCCCAGAAAAAAAAAGAGAGAGAAAGAGAAGGAAAAAAGTGAGGAAGTAGGAAGAAAAAGGGAAAAGGAGTCGAGAAAGGTACAACGAATCGTCTTCTTTCGCTAATAATACGACAAAGCTTCCGCGCTTCGCGCAGGAGGGGAGGAATGAATTCAGACAAGGATTAAGAGTCAAGAAAGGTACAACGAATCGTCTTCTTTCGCTAATAATTTAATGAAACTTCAAAGTTTTCGCGCTTCGTGCTGGAGGTGGAGGAAACTGACATCAGATAAGGATTAAGATTCGAGAACGGTACATCGAATCGTCTTCTTTCTCTAATAAATTAATAAAACGTCAAAGCTTCCGCGTTTTGCGCGGCGGGGGGGGGGGGGGGAACTGAATACAGATAAGGATTAAGAGTCGAGAAAGGTACAAAGAATCGTCTTCTTTTAAAGCTTCGGCCCTTCGCGCGGGAGGGGGGAAACTACCCCCCCCCCCTGCACCCATCCCCTAGGGAGCGCGCTTTGCGCGCTCTTTAAATGATTCGCACGCAAAGGGTGCTCATTATCGCCCCCCTAAAATAAAATCCTAGCTACGCGCTTGGAACCACGCACTTTGCCTACCCACTCTACATTATCAAGTCAATATAACGAAAAATTTCGGCTCGCGCTTTGTGCTCTAATTGTTTAACTGCATATGGAATTCCGAACGTGATTTAAACCTCCGACGCCATATTTCTTTAATTTATTTAACCCATGTTAAAAACAATTATTTCAGGGGATTTATTTTAAATATCAAGGGTTTAGAATGCAGTGATTTCAGGTCAATTTATAGAAAGATAAAAAAAAAATCCTATTGGGTATATAATTTATACCCAAAAGGCAAAACATACTGTGTTTCAAAGTAATCACCCTACCGCCCCCCCCCCTCCCTAGTGGGTCTAAAAATGGGGATAAAGCAAAGAGAGAAGAAAAATTAAGGCTAAAAGGAAAAGGAATATTTTCTAAAATGGTGACAACGGGGGGGGGGGGGGCAGTCGGGGGGGAATCTTCAAACGGCGGGTCAAAAACAAATGATAGAGCCCCCCCCCCCCTATGGCAGATATGCATAATATTTATTGATATCCACCACGTGTTCGTCTACAATATTTGGTTTTTAACTTACTAGTCTCGAGTATGTTCCAGGCATACTCGTGATACAGGCCCCGCAGTTGGGGGGCCTAGCTGTATGACGAGTATACTATAAGATTCTCTTAGAGGCCGCGCAACGGCGCACAGTGGGCCAGGGAGGGACCAAAGTGCGCCAAAACTCATGTTTGGGGATTTCTTTTTTATAAATCCAGAGGAAATGTTTAGATTTCCAGGGATTTTCGCTTAAATTGTATACCAACATTTTCTCTGATGTCTAAGCTTTAAGTTGATACCAGATTTGGCTGCCCGATTCTGCCCGTTATTATGTTAGAGCTGTTTTCCTTGCAACATTGCCCCGAAAAATGTGTTTATTTTGGTCTGCGGTGTCAGAACAAGTGTCACGCGCCCCCTCGCGCCGTGATTTATGACCACGAATCCTTCATGATTCATCCGCGGACCCCAAAACCCCACATTTTCGGGGCAATGTGGCAAGGGAAATCGGCTCTAACATAACAATGGGCAAGTTTGGGCAGCCAAATTTGGTATCAACTTGAAGCTTAGACATCAGAGGAAAGGGTGGTATTAAAATTTAAGCGGTACACTGCGGAGATCTAAACATTTCTTCTGGATTTATAAAAAACATGGATAATTAGTCCATTTTTCAGTGAATTACCCTATAATATATCTTGAAGATTGTGTTTCTATTAATTTTAACCCATTCATTCAACGAAATGAACTATCAGGAATATGTGAGAGCAATTTCATATCAATAACTTAAAAACTTCATGTTGAATTGAAAGATTTATAAAATAGGTCACTTTTGCACTAAAACTGTGAATATGTAGGATTTTGCTGATTGAAGTAGTAAATTTATATTGTGCATACCGGAATTAAATATTTCACTGAGGTATTCCTCTATGTATTACCTTTCAACTGGGCAAGACAAAAATTGAAAAAAATAAATCACCCAAAAATAGTTTTGGCGCACTTTGGTCCCTCCCTGGCCCACTGTGCGGCGTTGCGTGTTCTACAAAACGGACATGGGGGCCTGTATAACGACTTTACTGTATACTCGTGAACAAGGCCCCATCTTATGCATTTTCATGACGGACAGCACGGTAGTATGTCAAGCCGTTTTATAATTTAAACATATTTCTTGATATCAAGAATTACCATTGCTTTACAACGTAAAATTATTTCTTGATATCAAGAATTCAATTCTTGATATCACGAATTCGATTTCTTGATATCACGAATTCATTTCTTGATATCAAGAATTCATTTCTCCCTCCGATGGTAGGGAAAATTCTAGCATTTTACTCTCTGAAAATCAATTTTTAGGTACAATTTTGAACACCAACATACATGTAGCAAAACAGATGCGGCGCGGGACGGAGCTAAAAGTGTATTGGGGTGTTTCTTAGATAGCCTGACTTGGCCCGTCAATTCACTTCGTTTAGTACGTCTTGTGCCTAGCGGGGGGCCTCTCCCTCCCCGTTAACAAGAGAGAGAGAAGGAAAAGAAGGGAAAGGGAAAGAGGAGAGAAAGGGAAAGAAAGAAGAGGAAGAAGAAAAGAAGGAGATCGGGGGAGGGCCTCCCAGGATGTTGCCCCCCCCCCACAACAACAACAAAAAAAGAGAGAGAAGGGGGGTAAGG